CTTCGTAAAGACTAAAGTAGAGAAAGAAACGTTGCCTTTGCTGGACATTATTGTCACGAAAATTAGGTTAGTTTTCTGTACTGTTGATAGCAAAATGTTAAATTCAAGCCTTTTTCATGACTTCATCATCTGTTTTGCAGGCCCACACTCTACAATTACTGACTGATAAGAGTTTCAAAGCATGTCTCCGGGCGGGATAAGTTTGTAATTAAACATTCATGTCACTTATCAGGTCTCACACAGATACAGTCACACCCAATCATACAGAATTCAATGAACTCGTAAACAAACTTCAAGGATGATTGTCAGAGCCGCCCACTCCCTCTGGTGATCTTTCTACAGTCAGGTCAACATGTACATAAAATGTCGGCGGAATTTAGCATCACTAGAAGTATGCCTGTTTATAAAATAATACCAAACACCTATATCACCAGTGGGAATGGTTAAAAAAGGAACAATTACACTTTTGTTCACAATATTCTGTAGACAGTATTAGGCTCATCAAAATCTTCAATATCTAGTATTAGAAAACAATAGGTCTACAGACATAATATAAAACATTAGAAGAAAAGCCGCCTTACCGGCGAAACGTGCGTCGGGGTTTTGGGAGATTGCTCCATCTTTTCAAACCACCTTAATCTGAATCCACCATTGATCTTTATATATTCGAAGTGGGGTTCATTGGAACCGCTTAGTATAAAAATTATTTTGACTAAAGTTTTTCGGGGTTTGGGTACGCTTATCAGGGCTTATCTACCGACTAATAGCTAGCTTAATGTTTTCAGTAGCAGCAGGTGCCCATGAAGGCACCGTTAGATGTTTTGTGCCTACATAGACAGTAATTATCATTATCTATATATAAGCAACTGCTTTTTGTTTATTTTACTTTTAGTAATCAAGTAATAAGAAGTGTGCACAGTATACGTTTATTAAGGCGTTTAGTAGATTCACTTCTTTATTCATCTTTTTGAAAAGTTAGCTAACTTAGTGGGGTTTTCTTGAGGTAGGTGCCCATGAAGGCACAGTTAGATTTTTGGAATACTTTTTATAAGTTTACATTGGGAATTTAATTAATCTTTGTTTCTGTCTACCTCTTACAGATAGTACATATATTGCACTACAGCATAAGTCAATTGAAACTATCAATTTGCAACAATTTTAGATACTATCTGTTGATTATGTGTTAAGTGATTAATTTATAACAATCTGGTTATTATAATCACTTATTTGTTGTGTATCTCTCTATATTCCCTTTTGGCATATTGAGAATTTTATCCAATTAATTTGTTTTTCAATTTTATTTTAACTATATCATTAAAAGTTAATTTTTAACCTTATTTATTTCTATGGCAGTAGTCTTCTTTTCCATTTTATAATATAAAACATAACTTACATTGGGCAGTTCTGCGATCACCATTGGTTTAGTGTGTTTCCTATTGCACTCATAAGAATGTAGAGAGTAGGGTGTAGAGCAGGGGTAGGCAACCTACGGCACTAGTGCCATGCACGGCACTCGAGGTGTCTTTGCACGGCACTCAGGGCTGCTAGAGCCAAACAGGCTCTGGCCTATCAGGAGTCCCAGGTAAACTTCAGATATCTGCTAATGCAAAAAGGTGGTGAAGGGAAATCATGAATTTATGCATTGCTTCATTCCAGCAGTTGTGAATGGGAATCCGCACTGGAGTAGAGCATCCCGCAACTGCTGTTGCAGCTCCTGTCTTTTACCTGTACCTGGCCATCCTGGTCCCCACTGGAACCCAGGGAAGCCACCCACACTGCAAGATATACACAGAAATGCAGAATAACCCTCCCCTCATACAAATAATACGAACAGCCCACACACACACAAACACAACACACAATCCGCACAAACTTAACACCACTGACAATCCACATACATGCACACAGCCTCTCACATGCAATACCCCAAACAGCCCCACAATACCACAAACTACTCATAAACATATACAATATAATAGCTCATATACGCACAAATACAATGATACAAAGCAACTACAGTATACGTAACGAGCAGAATACAGCAGCATACACACCTCAATTTAAATAAATAGGACCGGCACGCTACAGGACATCACAATCCTATTTCGGCACAGTGCTGCTAAAAGGTTGCCTACCCCTGGTGTAGAGTGTTACATCAGTTAATTTCATTTAAGAGTTCCTCACGTGCAGAAATATAAACGGAAAACAAGACATATTGCGCCTCTTTAAAAGTACGGGTACTAGTAAATTAATGCATTTACAAGATATAAAAATAAATTGAGAATTGTGCCTTTTCTGGTACAAAATGTCAGGTCCTCCACTTCCTATAGGGTACAGGGTCCAATAAAATAATAAATAATGACAAACAATAAACCCCTTGCTTTTCACCCATTATGCATGAATTTCTTCAGCAACTTAACAATAAAACAAATACAACTAATTAGAGGATAAAACATTTAAGCCCCCCAAAAGGAATTGGACTGAAACATTGATTATATGCAAATACACGTATCCTTAAGATAAATTCGCTCTTCTACAATTGGGAGGACGTCAAGTATCAGTTAGGCAACTTTTTTATGCTGTACTTTTCAAAATAAATACTATGAAAGGCAAGTACAATACAGGTATACACTGATCAGCCACAACATTAAAACCACTGACACGTGATGTGAATAACATTGATTATTTCATTACAATGGGTGGGATAAATTAGGCAGCAAGTGAACAGTCAGTTCTTGAACTTCATGTGCTGAAAGCAGGAAAAATGGGCAATCGAAAAGATCTGAATGACTTTTACAAGGGCCAAATAATAATGGGTAGTTTTTGGTGTGCAGTGATTAGTACCTATAAAAAAGAGAGTCACGCAAAAAAGGCGCTAATAATACAGTGATAAGATCTTTGTGTGTACAACAATAAAAAGATAAAGCAGCAACCTTCTCAGTGCAACAGATCAAAAAATAAAAAAAATAAAAAGGTGCGTTAATTCTTTAAAATATAGTGCTACGAAGTGAAAGTCACAGTGCACTGTGCAATCAAGAATTACCAATAAAAATATTGTTATAATAATGTGCAAAATTGCAATTGTGTTCTGTGTTAAAATTAATACAAAAACTTGTTAAAGAAATAGAAAACTCACACTATTTCTTCCAATGATGTATGAGGACATGAAAAAAACAGAAAAAACAAACATAGCATAATACTGTTTTACAAGAGATATGAAAATGACCAAAAAAATTTGGAATCAGACTCACAAGGGGAGAGCAGTAAGAAGTCTGGGACTCAAAGTAGGTAATGATCAGAGTGTGGCAGCTTGAATGAAGAAACACGCTTTATTCCCAATAGAATTAAAAATTCACAAACATGTGAGCAATGTCCCTTAATTTAAAAGTCTGCATGTCTTTTTGGTACATCACTTAAACGTTATTTTAGCCAATGTTATGGTATAAACTTCCGTGGACTTAAGGGGACATTGCTCACATGTTTGTGAATAAAGCGTGTTTCTTCATTCAAGCTGCCACACTCTGATCATTACCTACTTTGAGTCCCATTGGTGGACAAAGCCAGAAAAGTGAGAGCAGATTCCAATTTCTTTTGGTCATTTTCATATCTCTTGTAAAACAGTATTATGCTATGTTTGTTTTTTCTGTTTTTTTCATGTCCTCATACATCATTGGAAGAAATAGTGTGAGTTTTCTATTTCTTTAACAAGTTTTTGTATTAATTTTAACACAGAACACAATTGCAATTTTGCACATTATTAGAACAATATTTTTATTGGTAATTCTTGATTGCACAGTGCACTGTCACTTTCACTTCGTAGCACTTTATATTTCAAAGATATAGCGCACCTTTTTATTTTTTGAGTGGTTAGTACCAACCAAAAGTGATGCAAGGAAGGACAACCGGACGACCGGTGTCAGGGTCACAGGCGCCCAAGGCCCATCTGGCCCGATCACACAGAAGAGCTACTGCAGCTCAAATTGCTGAAAAGCTTAATGATATCCATGATAGAAATGTGTCAGAACACACAGTGTATTGCAGTTTGCTGTGTGTGGGGCTGAATAGCATCAGACCAGACAGGGTTCCCATGATGATCCCTGTCCACCTCCAAAAGCACCTTCAATGGGCACGTGAGCGTCAGAACTTGATCATGGAGCAATGAAAGAAGGTAGCCTGGTCTAGTGTATCACGTTTTCTTTTAGATCAGGTGGATGGCTGGGTGTGTGTACATTGTTTACCTGGGTAAGAGATGGCAGCAGGGTTCACTATGGGAAGAAGGCAGGCCGGCGGAGGCAGTGTTTTCTTCTGGGCAATGTCCTTGGTCTCTGTCATTCATGTGGATGTTACTTCTGACACGTACCACCTACCTAGAGATTGTTGCAGACCACGTAAATCCCTTCATGGCAATGGTGTTTCCTGATGGCAGAGTCCTCTTTTGGCAGGATAATGTACCCTGCCCAGTAAAAATCGTTCAGGAATGGTTTGAGGAAGATGACAAAGTGTTCAAGGTGTTGCCTTGTACTCCAAATTCTCCACATCTCAATCCTATTGAGCATCTGCAAGAACAACAAGAAAAAGAAAAGAAGACGAGCCTGACAAAATTAGAGGATACACTTATAATGAGGGGTAACCCCAGGTGAGAAACTACATGAAACAAGGAGAAGTGTACCTCCAAGGGAACTGGGAAAGTATGTACAATATCTATAATAAGTCACAAATGGGATGCCAGTTGTACCATTACTAGACTCAGTACCAAAATAGTAAAGAAAATAAATAAATATTCTTCCCCTCTGATGAGCCAGGTCGGGTGAAACGCGGGGGTCTCGTTATGCTGTCCTCCTACCGTTCCAGACAGCTAACTGATATGCAGCATCAATAACATCGACTGTGCTTATTTTTTTTATTTTTTTTATTCTTTATTTTATTTGTGCGTCAAATAACAATAATCATGCAGAGCCACGACAGCGACTGCAGGCATTTTCATAGTATTCCAATACGTGGCAGCTTAAACGGCACTTTTTTTTGGGGGGGAAAATTACATGAAAAAGACACGTGAAGTTATAATGAACACACATGGTAAGACATTATAATAACATAGTTGGGTACACATAGGCTTAGAGTAATGTACGTGGGTTACATGTTGAGGAACAGTAGGGTAATTGAGCTTTTAGTGCTTGATAGAGACATAAGCTTAAAACAGAAAAGCAGTGTCAACAGTAAAGATTTTGCTTCAATGCTTGAGATGCTTAATAATGCTTAAAACAAAATGAAATGACCACCCCATGTTAACCCCGTGTCAGCCTGGTGAGAGTCCATGTCAGCCTTCATGATGACCCCTTAGTGTGCAGTGCAATGTGATGTAACGTGGTAAAATGCTTAATGGCTGCCTTTGCGCTTAAAGTCCCGTTGGCCTTGTAAGGGGGGGTTGAAGCTTTATTCCTGGGTCACTTGTGTTCCAGCTGAGCACCTGTCTTGGGCATGTGGTGAGTCCCGGTTTAGTTGCTGTGGGTGGACAGATCTGCCGAATTGGGCCCTCAACAGGGGATTGGGCATGTGCCAGGTTGGTGCAAGGCCTTGCAACGTGTTCTCCCTTCGGGTCTACCATCCGCCGGTGTGTCGGGCCGTTATGCTGCTCCTCCTCAGTTTGTGTGAGGTAAGCGCTTGCTCGCCGGTGCCGTCTTTGGTGCAGTCAGCAATCCACCTGTATGGGAGCAGGAGAGGAGGGTGCATCCGGCTGCTCTGCCATGCGGTCTCCGCCATCTTAGGAGTGGACCCGCCGGTCCATGGGGGGGGAACAGGGCTAGGCCTGCCTAGCCGTGCGTTTCTGCCTTACCGCTGGTGGGCAGGATAGCTGGGCGGCGGCCGTCCACCCCACTCACCGCCCGGGCGGTCTCCATCGCGTTCAGCTGGGAGCGCCCCACCGAGGGACTAGAACCTTGCGGCAAGCCTCTCCTCGGGACCAGGGTTGCTTCTTTCGCTGGGGTGTAGGTATCAGGCTTTTAATAATAATTTTGCTGGGTTTTAGTGCCAAAAACTTGGGAAGTTTTCAGGAGCTATTCCTCTGTGCTTCCTCTCAGCATGGCGGCCAGGCCCCGCCCCCCGACTGTGCTTAATTTTTAAACACTTTTTTCACTTAGTTATCTTGCTCAACTAGGGATGTATGCAGTGGGCGGCATTCTAGATGGGGAATGGAGTCAGGTGCCCATGAAGGCACGGGGGGAAGTTTTAGCTTCAGACCTCTAATATAATTTTAATTTCAATTAGCAGGGTATTTCTCCCCCCTCCCCCCACCCTTCTTTTCCCTATTTCCCCTATTCATGTATAATCATTTAGTACTTACAACTCTGGTTAGGCACATAGTAGCATCCTGTAGCTGTACCTTTATCAGTAGCATTAAGCAACGAGGTTCTCATGAAGTTCCCCAGCAGACACTTAGGGGTTAACTATTGTACACATTCGCTAGCTATTTATATCCTTTCCATACTTTGGTAGCTTATCTTGCTACTACAACGATATCAAATTCCACCTTGATATTTCGCTTAATTTAGCACACATCAATATACACATATCCCTTCGTATGTGCTTTGCTTTTACATAATGGGGCTTCTAATCTAATCTTGGATATTATACTTATGCTATTATTATAGCACACTACATAGGAATACACCATACAGACGTGTAAGCTGCCTATAGTTTACTCCGAACACGCTATCATCCCTTAGCAAGTATTAGTGGACAGAATACTGTTACGTTAATATATATTGATGACCTTTTGTAATTAGACTTATTCTTCAATTCCACCCATGAGCACTTTGAGCACTTTTTGTGCACCAGCATTTTTAGTTTATTGTTAATAGAATGTATTTGTTTTCTTTACTATTTTGGTACTGAGTCTAGTAATGGTACAACTGGCATCCCATTTGTGACTTATTATAGATTTTGTACATACTTTCCCAGTTCCCTCAGATGTACAGTGCTCTTCCTTGTTTTTGCAGGAACAACAAATACAATGCAGAGCCCACCTCTAAAAGGAGACCCCACCTCTAAATTTGCAGGACTTAATGGATCAGCTGCAAATGTCATGGTACCAGATACCAAAGGACATGCTCATAGGCTATGTGGAGTCCATGCGTCAATACATCAGAGCTGCTTTGGCAGCATGGAAGAGACCGACACAATATTAGGCAGGTGATGTTAATGTTGTGGCTGATCAGTATATATTAAGCAAGTCACCAAGAATGGTGTAATAATGTAGAACCAAAACTGCACAATTTTTTAAGTTAAGGAAAGAAGATGCAATCACAATTTTAAATATATATATATATATATATAAGTAGATGACAGCTGATTAAACATGCTTCAGAAAATAACATACAATAAAATACAAGGTACATTTACGGCTTATCCTATGGCAGAACTCACTGGGTGGTAATGAGAAAAGCTCTATTAGTATCATATAGTGAGACTGGTACCGTCCATCTAGGTAAACTAATAACCTATAAAAAGGACCACCTAAGAACCCGGGATAACCTAGGATAAAGTCTTCCTATCCCTATAGCCCTGACCCCTAAATATATATGCAAATTGGGGCTTCTATAACACCATCTACAGAAACAAATATAACTTGGACCTACCCAATCAATCATTATCGAACAAAGCCTGCGTGAGCTCTTCTGTTATAAAATCGAGAAGCAATCTGATTGGGTGACACAGCATATACATATTTTTAGTATACTGTGCGTACATATTTATTATGATCAGTGCTTTCCTGTCTGCATGCTGTGATATAATAACTGTAACTAGAATTAAATACCAATGATTTGTAGAGAATCCCTGCTTGAAAATTGCAAAAATAGCAGGTTCTCCTTTTCTTACAGAAAGATATTAATATGTCCTATAAATCCATGGCTGTGAAAATCAAAGTACATTTAAAATTTAAAGGCTGTTTAGCTCATTAGGTTAAGCTAATTTAACCTGCATTTTAATAGATTTTTTTTAGATTTTGAGAGCTGGTCTGAGACTCTTTGTTCCATTTTCTGTCATTCTTCTATCTGAAGGTAATGACTTGCCGTGCCTGAAGCGATGGCTAGATTGTAAGGGCAGTCTGATTCCATACACGCATTGCTTGAACAGCAGAGACTGGAACATGATAAAACTCCACAAAACGGCCAGTGACACACATTTAACAAGGGGACATTTAACTGGGTTAATGAGCCTCTAATCCACCATCTGTGCTAAGGTTTGTCTTATAATTCATCAGATCCCTTGAAGAAATAAAGTGAAAAGACTTTGTTATAGAACATTTCAGATGACCTGTCATGATTGAGCTGGGCTCATAATATTTCTTTCATCTCGACAGCAAGGTAGCTTGAATTACCTGAAATGCCTTTGTCTACACAAAAAAGATGGAAATGAGATACCAGAGTACCAATATTTATTAACTGCATCTTTGTATCAGACAAAACAGGAACCAGTGGAACCAGGGTCTTCTGGTTCTCCTACCTTGAGAACTCATTGACATGACATTTGACTATGGCCTTCTCTATTTAGTTAAATTTAAAAAATATCCCTTTGCTTTTTCTTTTTTCCCCTTTCTCCTCTTCCATCTTCTAACACCCCAAACACTATAATTACTCCTTTACCTATCAAGTATCTCTATGAAATAACCTATGTTCTCCACAAACTCTCTTTTTTTCTAGTTATAGTTAGAGATGTCGCGAACCGTTCGCGAACTTCCCGCGAACTTCCCGCGAACGGCTCGCCACGGTTTGCCGCGAACCGTTCGCGGCGAGCTCCGGTCTGCTGACACATCCCGGCCAATCTCCAGCAGACCCTCCCTCCCAGACCCTCCCACCTCCTGGACAGCATCCATGTTGAAGGCAGCTTCAACATGGATGCTGTCCAAGAGGTGGGAGGGTCTGGGAGGGAGGGTCTGCTGGAGATTGGCCGGGATGTGTCAGCTGACTGGAGCTCGCCGCGAACCGCGACGAGCCTTTTGCGGGAAGTTCGTGAACGGTTTGCGACATCTATAGTTATAGTTACACTCAAATGTAACACATTTTGCACAAAATATCACAATAACAATAACACTCAAAGCACCACAACTAAGGCGCCAAGGAGGATATTTCGAGGCCTTGTGTGTCCCATGGTCCTGGAATTGTCCAAATTAAAAAACAATTCTTAAGATAAAAAAAACAAAAAGCCATCCTTTTTATCTAGATATTTCTAACCTAAAATATATCCAAATAGGCCAAATAGTTTTCAGTATACGTAAAATAATAGTAACAATAGACAATTACTATATTTTACAAAGATTACTAACGTTTATGAGGATTTGATGATAAGCCTCTCTAGGATAGTCCTTTAAAATATATATATGCAGTTAATATCTGTGAACATTTCAGAATTAGTTAGGATGTCATGCTTTCCAGCCTCCCTTATACACAGAGCCAGGTACATTTACCAACTGTTGATGTCAATGTCATAACCTGGGCTGTTTAACCTGCATCATGATATAAATTAAAAATGAATGTAAGGGACAAACTGGGTTGGTACCAGCTGATCCTAAAATAGGGTGTTTGAATTCCCCAGCTTTTTTTAGTGCTTGTTCGTTGACAAAAGCTAATAAAAATTGTTGAATGGTGCAAACTGAGGTCTAACTATGGCTTTTCTCCTGGACTAAGCAGTCAAGCATACATCTTATAATGGGCCTTCAGAATGCACGGATTTATGGCCAAATTTGAAGCAATTCAGTAATTTGTAAAATATTAAGATAGACCTAGTTTACAATGATTTATTTTCCTGGTTTCATCCTAAATCTGCATTTAAAGTTATAGTTTTAGCCTACAGTTAATGCATTTTCACCCCAGGGAAAGATATGTAACATTGAGGTGAAGGTACCCACCTGATGAGTGGAGAGCATTGAAACCCCTGCTGTGAATTGGTCCCATTTAAAAATATGTTTATGGAACACTCCAAGAATCATAATACAGCATCATGTAGTGGTTATGGTGCGAGCACTGTCTTGGCACCTCCCCCCCCCCCTTTATGAGGACTTTTACCAACAGTTTGAAATTTTACTTGCGGGTCACCTCCGCTACCGTCAGCAAAGGCTGAAGTTCCTAAGCGCAATGCAGGGTTTAGCTCATCGGCTAAGAGCATCAGCTGGTAGTGGAGGAGCAGAGCCCAGAAGACCGCAGGTAAGAAGTCAAACCCCTCACAAACAGTTTGACTCTTCCAAATGGGGGTGCCAGGGAATTCCAGCTGCCACCATAACCTCCACAGCGCTCTGCAGTGGTTATAGTGCTTGGAGTGTTGTTTTTATGTTGTCATGCATCCGTGTACATTTACTGCAAATGTAACTTCCTTAATATCTCATATATAACAATTAGGGACTCTGATAGGTCAGGAGAGCTGTGAACGCTGCATCATTTGATAAAGACCCATTTCAGCAGTAGAGATATACTTAGCATAGCTATTCATTCTGCTACGAGGCAGCTATATAACAGCATGAGACTGTTATAAATTGGTCATATCAGCAGTAGCTCTATTAAATAATGCATGTTCTTGGTTAGACTTTTCAATGTCTCTTGTTTCAATAGGTCAGTGTGGGACATTTAGGGAGAGGGAATATATTACGGGGGAGGGTCACAGGCCTTTTGCATATGGTGGTTGTGGGTTGCAGTATCACATAATATTTTTGTGGATTATATAGCAGGATATTGTTTGAGATGTCTCTTGGCAGAGTACAGATAGAGGCAGCAAGCAGGACTGTGTAGGCCTCTGCTACCTCAGCACTACATATAACCCAACTTCGGTGTCTCATAAAACATGGGACAGGGTAAGAGGAGGCAGGCCAGTAATCTTAAATGCATCATTGGTGCCGTCCAAAAAGGGTGGACCTGCTTGGAAAGGTCTGACCAAAAATTAGGGAGGTCAGTCTGATGTGCATGCATGTCAGGCTGCCTACCAATCACCTAGGCTAGCCAAGTGAGGACAGAGCATGCAGAGCGCGTTGTTATAGCACTCTCTAGTCTACATGGCCCTAGTATCCGGAGCACAGCACGAGTGCGGGATACCAGGGACAAAGTCGGGATGGTCAGGAACTGTCCCACCGAAGTCCTGACACTGTATGGGTTGGTACGTGGACAGGTGTCCCATAATCGCAGTGTTCTCCTGGTCCAGAGGGATAATTCACTGTAATGCATCCCAGTTGTCATAGATGACAGTGGAGTCATGGAAAACAGTTTGTATCTCATCAGCATACACATATCTTTCAGGATGATCACGCTGTGCAGATCATCCTGATCGAGGTTGTAAAGATATTTGAAGTTACAACTTGCAACTCCTGGGGTCTCAGTCTGTCAAAACCATGTATTGCTTGTTCCTCACAAGCAGGACCGTCTGCACTGAGTCTGTGAGATTTTTGTGCATTTTAAGGCTGTTTGTTTGTACCTGCCTCTAGGCTCTTCTGTTCTGGGTATCTCATCACATCGGATGTCCTCTTCCAGAGGGAAAAGCAAAGGATCTCAGAGTGAAAGATATCTCACAGATTCTTAACTTTATAGCTAAGCTTTATGACGTTCCCCTTGGGCATGTGTCCATCACTGCCAGATCTGCCATTAGACAGAGTAAAGACAAAAATTCATACACAATACAGATTAATGAACGGCGCACACATAAAATACATTTTAAAATTTTATAATTTTATAAGGCCTTATAAAATGTAAAAATGTATTTTTATGTGTGATCTGTTTCTTAGTAGGATACTATAGTGCCAGGAATACAAAGCTGTACTCCTGGCACTATCGCTCCCCCTGATTCTCTCTCACCCGCGCTACCCTCCCTAGTGAACAAAGGGTAAAAACCTCTTTATTTACTTACCTGATCCCAGCACCGATGTCCCTCAGCACTGGGTCAAAGCTCCTCCTCCTCTGTCCCGCGATGAACGGACTCTAATATGCGTGCATTAGTCCTCCTTATTGGAAAGCATTATATCAGTGCAGAGCGTGAGGACGTCCAGCATCAGATACTGGAACAAAGGTCCATTTCAAACCAGGAAGCCATAAAGTGCCTGTCTGGTAGACAGCCACTAGAGGCTGACTTAGTGCTACAATGTAAACATTCCAGTTTCTTTGGAACTAAGGGCAATAGGGACACTGTACCCAAACCACTTCAATGAGCTGAAGTGGTCTGGGTGCCTACAGTGTCCCTTTAATCTATATTAGACAGAGTAGGCACATACCTCCAGGTTTTTTTTTTTTGTTTTTTTTGTAAGCAGATCTACTCTGACTTCTAATGTGCATTTTTTATTTTTAGATATATCTTGATATATTTTTATAATTTTTAATTGTAATAGCAATTTTCAAGGCATCTTAAATATATTTATCTTTTATATATATATAAGAAGTAATCGGTTATTTATCATATTTGGCATTCTTTTATAAGAAAAGTTTAACATAAACACAACTCCATCTTTATTGTAGTAAATGAAAAGGTAGCTTTAATGTGGCATGGTAAGAAATCCTTTTTAAAACAACAATTTTTGGGGGGAAATTGTCAAACAAACATAACTATTTTTCAATCTGCAATATTTTAGCCTAAAACATTGCAGTTCGTGGTTTAGTTAATAACCTTTGATAACACTGAATCACTTATATGTTCTTTCACTAACTGGCAGAGAGAGCAAGAATGAAACAAAGAGAGAACAGAGAGAGAACAAGAGTGGGAATGGGAATGAGGATGGTCGGAAGCGAGAGCGCAATAGATAATTTGACTTTTTTTCATAAAAGGAAAACTTCTTAAACAACTTAGAAGTTCTTCCCAGAAAACATCAGTAAGTCCTTTTTACAGTTAATACAAATATAAGTCATTACTGTTGCTTTAAGAATGAATAAGTGCAATGTCAGCGTGGATGTCAGATGACAAACTCTTTGTTAAATAATAATGTCACCTGCAGCAACCTTGCACAATCACACGTCAGCCTCTGTGTAAGCATTATACGGTATAAATATTGCAATCCACAGATACTGCCTGTGTTATCAGAACATACTGCACATCTCTCTGGAAGGGCTTGATAAGCCATAAACGTCAGCAGTATTCTCTATCTCAGCCCTGTGTGTGTGGCAACTGGAGAGATGTGCTGCAAAGATCCACCCAAAATGGAGGACCATGACCAAGTGACAACCGACAGAGGCAGGGAGCATGCTTGCCCCATTCGTGGAAAAAAAACATGTTTCTTTTATTTTTTTTAAACATTTATTCATTAACTAATCTCTGAAGCCATAGTGATCTGGGCACAACTAAACAACTTTATTTCTTATTTCATATTCCCAAATTGCATAATTTAGGTAAAAAAAGAACTGATACCAAAAAAATAAAATAAAAAAAACGAACAACTCAGCTCTTGTCGTGACTCAGCTTCTTCTGCCTAGTTTACAGTTTGGTTGTAATGTGCTACAATTCCATTTTTTAGTGGATGATCAACCGCAGTGTTCTATGTTAGTATAATGACAACCTTTATCAGGGCTATTCACCAAAGTGAGAATTTAAAGTGAATTTCAGTTTTAAGGTCAAAACAGACAAACTGGAAAATGATTTGCCAGCTATGTTTCCAGGTCAGCTAGTTTGGCCTTAAATCAATATTTGCTTTCAGTTCACACTTTACTGAATAACCCTGTCAATCTGTAAGTAACTGATATAGGCCAGTGAGACACTGTACCGGGTGAATGAAGAACTGACCTGAAAATCTCCAGTTTTACTAAATAAATAAATAGCTGTTGCACGTGGGGAAGAATTCTTTCAATTCAACAATTTGGGCCTAAACTTTGCAAATATCTTGTCAGTTCTCCCAATTTTTAGTTTAGTGAATAAACCCCATGATTGTCAGGATATTTTAAAAGTGACAACATGTCCAGCTGCAGGTTTAGGCATAATGGGTCTGCTTCAAAGCTTAAACTACCCCAAACATGCCAAAGACACATACATTCTACAATATGTGAACATATGTAAATCATAATATGCTTTTTGCAGTCACAGCCCTTATAGTGTAATTCATTCATCACATTAAAGGGACACGTTAGTCATCCAGACCACTTCATTTCAATTAAGTGGTCTGGGTGCCATGTCTACCTTGCAATGTAAAAATATAGACATTCAGCAGAAACGACAATATTTAACATTGCAGGGTCAGAATGCCTCTAATGGCTGTCACTACCGCCGAATTAGTCCAGTAAAATATTGGTCATAGAGACCATGTGATTGGCGCAACACAGAGATTTGCTGTGCATGCGCAGTAGTCTCCAGTTGGTTTCCTATGGGAAAGCATTGGATTGTCTGAGATCAACAAGATTGCTGATCTCAGCCAAAGAGACTGGGCCAGCCACTGAGAACGGTGGCATGGGAAAAAAGGTGAGTAAACTGCTTTTTTTCCCCCCCTTACAATAATATAATACTGAATAGAGGAGCACAACCAGCTAAATACAAAACACTTTATAGTACAGAAACACACATATCAACATTGTCAAATTAAAGTATCAATATAGTCAAAGATATACACAGAATATGCAAATACTGACTGAAAAAGTACATACCGAAAATAGAACCTGTTAAAGCACATGAGAAGAGGATGAAGATGTAGAAAAAAATTGTCCCCAACGTTTCGGCCTTTACCAAGGGAGCTCCGTTGGGGGCTATTTTTTTGACGTCTTCACCCTCTTCTATTTCAGGTTCTATTTCCGGTATGTACTTTTTGGTTCACACTCTGATACAGGTATCATAAGAATTGTTTTTCTATAGTTGTGGTTACACCACTTAATGTGTATATTTCGGATTTATTTTTTTTTATCTCTTTCTCTGCTCTTAGTCAGTACTTGCATATTCTCTGTATATGTTTGACTATATTGATACTTTAATTTGACAGTGTTGATACCTGTTATGTGTGTTCCTGTACAATAATGTTTTGTATTTTAGCTGGTTGAGCTCCTCTTTTCAGTATTATATTAATGCATTGTACATTGACAGTGAACAATAGTGCAGTATAGTCAGTGAAAACAACACATGTATAGGGTATCGGCACAAAAATGCATTAGTAATTTAACAATTGTGACATTATGGTCCAGGCTAATAACATAACGTTGAGCAGCAATAGGTGCCTTTTGTGCAGAATTGCTAAGCTTGTATGTTCCTGAAAAATTGTGCACAAGCAATGGATGACTTAAATTGTGGAAATCATAATCAAAAGGTAGTTGTCCACCGTAAATAAGGAATAACATATTATCTCTAGATTACCCACTCCCCAATGAGTTTTTGGTTCTGTTCTGGGGATATTCCCATCCGGAATTTAAGAGAGAGAGAGGGAAGGAAAATAACAGAAATAGGTAGTGGTAAAAGAGTAATGAATACGAAAAGCCAAGGAAAATCGGCGCAGAAAAAAAGAACAAAGTGGCACCTGGATCTCCCCTATGTGCTTGCGCGAGCCCCTTGTAACCAGCGCTGTATGTACCCCGAGGCTGACAAGGCATTTGCCTTGGGCGGCACTTTCAGGGGGGTGGCAAAAAAAGCTGCCCCCCAAACACCCTGGCAAATGCCTTGCCAGCCTTTTGTCCTGGGTGGCCCAAGAGCTGGCCGGCTGGCCACCTCAGTGCCCCCTCCATAGGCTGGCATCTACCTCATGTGGGAGGAGGGTAGCGAGGGAGCACTCTCCCCCGAGTTCTTCCCTGCTCAGCACCCTAACGCACACCTCAGTGATGCCGGAGCTGAAATAAGATGTCACTCCGGCCCCAGCATCACTAAGAGGCGCACAAGGGAGGGAAGATCACAACTCCCTCGCCGCCTGGCTCCACTTTGCGCCTGTCTGTCTGCCTGACCGCCCGCCGAGCTGCAGCCAGCCCCACTGGACTGCCAGGAAGAATCCACTCCAGCACTACTAAAGATAAAGAGGCTGGGTGAATACTTGAATTTTTTTTATTTTAAATTGTAAGTGTGTGTGTGTTTGTTAGTGAGTGCGTTAGTGTTTGTGTCTTTTAGTGAGTGTATTAGTGTTAGTGAGTGTGTGTGTTAGTGTGTGTATCTGTTAGTGTGTGTGTGTGTGTGTCAGTATGTCTGTTAGTGAGTGTGTTAGTGTGTGTCTGTTAGTGAGTGTCTGTTAGTGAGTGTGTGTTAGTGTGTCTGTTAGTGAGTGTGTGTCTGTTAGTGAGTGTTAGCGTGTGTGTCCATTAGTGAGAGTGTGTGTCAGTCTGTCTGTTAGTGAGTGTGTTTATTGTGTGTGTCTGTTAGTGAGGGTGTTAGTGTGCATCTGTTAGTGACTGTATGTGCCTGTTAGTGAGTGAGTGTGTGTGTGTGTCTGGTAGTGTGTGTGTGTTAGTTAGTGAGTGTGTGTGTGTCAGTGAGTATGTGTGTCTGTTATCGAGTGTTGTGTGTCTGTTAGTGAGTGTGTTAGTGTGCTTCTGTCAGTGAATGTGTATGTCTGACAGTGTGTGTCTGTCAGTCAATGTGTGTGTCTGACACTGAGTGCATATATGTCTGTCAGTGAGCTTTGTATATGTATTTGTCAGTGTGTATCTGTCAGTGAGTGTGTCCCAGTGTGTGTGTGTGTACCTGACACTGAGTGAGTGTGTATGCATTTCTGTCAGTGAGTGTGCATGTGTGCTTTGTCAGTGAGTGTGTATGTGTCTGTCAGTGAATGTGTGTCTGTCAGTTAGTGTATATGTGTGTCTCTCGGTGAATGTGTGTGTGTGTGTAACTGTGAATGAGTGAGTGTGTATTTCTGTGAATGTGTATGTTTCAGTGAAAGTGTGTGTTGGTTAAACAGTGTGTGTGACAATGACTGTGTATCTGTAAGTGAGTGTATGTCAGTGAATGTATCAGTGAGGGTGTGTGTCTGTCAGGAAGAGATATTTGGAGGGGTGGGGGTGGGGGAGTCCGAGTTTCGTCATGCCTAGGACAGCACAAAACCAGAATACACCACTGCTTGTAACATCATCCATCTCTTTCTTCCTGTGCTATAGTATTCTTTTAACCTGTTTGCATTCCTTGAGTGAAACAATGACACAATGCAGGAGGTAGAGCAACGAGCAGGTCTCCAGCTATCGGAATACAATTTACATCAAGGTAGAGCTGGGAAATTTAGGCCTGGAGGGAAAGTAAAAGAAATAGCAATTTTCTGCGCAGTGCACTAATGCATCCCATATTGCAGGACATCATTTCCTCACTTCCCACTCCATGCTCCCATGAAGAAATGCCATATATTCCTGATAGTTAGTACGCAAATAGAACTCATACAGACTCTGCACAAAAATCTGGGGGCTTTGCTGAAATCCAAATGACATTTATGGGACTATAGCCAATCCATGACAGTTTTGCGTGTCATTTTTGAATTTGCAACAATAAGTTTGGAGTTTAGTGAATAACCCGAACAGCAATTTTTGTTGAAAAAAACAACACTCAACAGATTCTGTGGCGCTTTACAATATTATAAGAGGGGGGATGTAACTATAAATAGGACAATTACAAGAAAACTTACAGGAACGATAGGTTGAAGAGGGCCCTGCTCAAATGAGCTTACAGTCTATAGGATGTGGCAGGGCCGGACTGGGAAGAAAATTCGGCCGGGGCATTTTTTAATTACAGAGGTCCACCACAAAGGGGGCGGGGCCAGATAGGGTGTGTTTTGTCATCACCAATGACAAGCACACCCCATCACAAAGTGAGCATGTTGGTTCAATGCTCTTCCCGGATAGACCATGCGCAGAGCTCTGCTGAAGAGCTCTTGCATGAGAAAAAGATCCTGTATTTGTTCTGCACAGCGCAAGCAAATTCAATAACATGCTTGCACTGCGTTTGCTTGAAATTTGTCTCTGGTGTCTCCATAGTTGGGATACCAGGAGACAAAAATGCTAGGAAAGCATATTGTGCAGTGTGAGGGTGCTGTGTGTGTGTGTAAGGGGTGTAGTGTGTGTGCGAGAGGGGTGCAGTGTGTGTGAGGTGTGCAGTGTGTGAATGATGGGTGCTGTGTTTGCGTGAGGGTGCTGTGTTTGTGTGAGGGTGCTATGTGGGTAAGGGTGCTGTGTGTGTGTGCTGTGTGTGATTGGGTGCTGTGTTTGCGTGAGGGTGCTATGTGCATGTGAGGAAGCTGTGTGTGTCAGGGGTGCAGTGTGTGTGTGGGTGCTGTAAGTGTTAGGGGTGCAGTGTGTGTGTGCTGTGCGTGTCAGGGGTACAGTGAGTGTGTGCTGTGCGTGTCAGGGGTGCAGTGAGTGTGTGTGTGTGTGTGAGGGTGCTGTAAGTGTTAGGGGTGCAGTGTGTGTGCTGTGAGTGTCAGGGGTGCAGTGTGTGTGTGAGTGAGGGTGGTGTGTGTGTGTGTGTGTGTGTGTGCTGTGAGTGTCAGGGGTGCAGTGTGTGTTAGTGTGTGAGTGAGGGTGCTGTGAGTATCAGGGGTGCAGTTTATGTGAGTGAGGGTGCTGTGAGTGTCAGGGGTGCAGTGTGTGTGTGTGTGAGGGTGCTGTAAGTGTTAGGGGTGCAGTGTGTGTGTGCTGTGAGTGTGTGCTGTGAGTGTCAGGGGTGCAGTGTGTGTGCTGTGCGTGTCAGGGGTGCAGTGTGTGTGTGTGTGAGGGTGCTGTGAGTGTAGGGGTGCAGTGTGTGTGTGTGTGCAGGGGTGCAGTGTGTGTGTGAGGGTGCTGTGAGTGTGTGCAGTGTGTGTGCAGGGGTGCAGTGTGTGTGCTGTGAGTGTCAGGGGTGCATGTGTGTGTGTGTGTGGGTGTGAGTGTCAGGGGTGCAGTGTGTGTGTGTGTGTGTGAGGGTGCTGTGAGTGTCAGGGGTGCAGTGTGTGTGAGTGAGGGTGCTGTGAGTGTCAGGGGTGCAGTGTGTGTGAGTGAGTGTTAGGGGTGTCTGTGAGGCTGCTGTGCCCTGAGTGATTATATCCCCCCTCCCTGCTTACCTTTAGCCTGGGAGGGAGGATCCTGCTGCTGAGGCTGCCATCCATCCCTGGTGGTCCTAGTGGTGAGTGAACTCTAGACTGTTGGGCTCCGAATCTTGCAAGAGGAACCCGGCGGAGCTGTAAGTTAAAGCTCCGCCGGGTTCCTCTGCTGGCAGGCTGGCTCCCTCCCTCTCTCCTACGGCGGCTGTACTATCTTGCATGTGGGCCGGTGAGGGAGATCTCTGATCTCCTCACTGGCCCGCTGTAGACTACTGCAGGGCTGGCGTTCAGATAGTGCCGGCCCTGCAAAGACCGGCAGGAGAGATCCTGGGACCTCCCCTGCCGGCCTCGGCCCATGGCCACCGCGGCCCACCGGGCATTTGCCCGGTGTGCCCGATGGACAGTCCGGGCCTGGGATGTGGGGTATAAAACACATTAGGACAGGAAATAGCAATCAAATTAGGTGGGAGTGAAGCAGAGCTGGAGTAGAGAGTAGAGTGCTGCCCTTTAGGAGAGAGCAAGAGACAGGTATGTGAGGTAGATGTTACTCTGGGAGGCCATAAGCTTTCCTAAAGAGACGTGTTTTAAGGCACTTCTTAAACGATTGAAGACTAGGGGAGAGTCTGATGGCGGTAGGCAGGCTATTCCATAGGAAGGGAGCCGCCCGCGAGAAGTCCTGCAAGCATGAGTTGACAGTGCGGGTGCGAGCAGGAGACAGGAGAAGGTCATGGGGCAAAGCAGAGGGAACGAGAAGGGGGATACCATTGGATCTGTGATGAGATAAGAGGGGCTAGAATTGTTCAATGCTTTATATGCACTTTGAACCGACTCCGATAGAATACAGGAAGCCAATGTAAAGACTGATAGAAGGGTGAGGTGTGAGAGGACCGACTAGAGAGGAAAATCAGTCTGGCGGCAGCATTCGTTACAGACTGTAGCAGGGCAATACGGCTATTGGGAAGACCGATTAGGAGAGGGTTACAATAATCCACGCGGGAAATTAATAGAGCATGGACAAGGAGTACAGAAAAAAGAAGTTGGGAGTAAAATTTTGTAATACAAATATCGCATAATATATGCAAATACAGAGTTCTCAATGTTTTCATGGTACAAAATAGTGACAGTTTGTAAAGTAATACGGAGTGTAATTATAGTTTTCTGTTCGGATTTGTTGTTCCCTGGGATTTCCATAGCTAAGTATCGGATTCATTCTGTTTCAGTGTTATGTCGGTAATAGGGGGTACAGAATAAAGAGAGGGGAGTGGGCTGCGATGTTTTTAAGGTGGAATTGGCATGATTTGACAACAGACCAGATGTGAGGCTCAAAGGTTAGGCCAGAATCAAAAGTAAAACCAAGACAACGTTACCTGTTGTTGTCCCACCCTCCTTTCCTTATTTCGTTTATTGGGGTGTGGTAGCTTCTGCCTTTTATCCCATTTGATCACGGCAACAGAGACTGGATAAGAAATTGGGGGGTAGCTAAGATTGGTAGCTGGGATGTTTTGAAGTTTGGTAACAATATTCACATGGTTTAATTTGCTAATTGGTAGGTTGGACCCGTAGTTGGCTTTTAACTTGGGGGTGTAGGGCTATTTCGGTATATCCCTACAATGTTAAATCACTTGGAGTATGACGCCTGTTGTGGCTGTGTTTTGTGTAATATTATTTATGTTTTGTTATATGGAATATTGTTGTTATTTTATGTTATGGGTCATTGTCAGTGGGTATAGTAGTTTTAATCGTTGCAGTTTAGGTGTCTATGTTAAAATTGGGTATGTTTGGCAATGACCCATTTTGTTATTTATATTTACATATATATATTTTATTAAAGCTGTGATATTTTATCCACTTTAAATTTGGTGTCCGTGTCTTTTTGGGCAGTTCAGGGTTTTTGTGATTTATGAAATATGCAAAAGATTATGCGCATGTCATGCTAAGAGCTGTGCAGGCACACACAGGAGGGGGGAGGGAGGCTAAAACGAAGTTGCTTGTTACATATATATATATAGATAGAGAGAGAGAGAGAGAGAGAGAGAGAGAGAGAGAGAGAGAGAGAGAGAGAGAGAGAGAGAGAGAGAGAGAGAGAGAGAGAGAGAGAATATATCCCAGCATTCGAACGACAACACTGCACAAAACTACACCCATGCATTGAACCACCAACTCAACACACAAACATACCCCTGAATTGAAATACCAACACTGTACCCAAATACACCCGGTCCCCTGCATTCAAACACATAAACACAGTCCTGAATTCAAATGCCATAACTTCAAACACACCCCTGCATTCATATGCATACACTACACACAAATACATCCTTGCATTCAAATGGTAATAGTACATACAAACACACAGTTGCATTTAAACACACACTAGCATTCAAATGACAATAGTACATACAAACACACAGTTGCATTTAAACACGCACACTACACACAAACACATCCTTGCATTCAAATGACAATAGTACATACAAACACACAACTGCATTCAAACACACACACTACACACAAACATATCCTTGCATTCAAATGGCAACAGTACATACAAACACACAACTGCATTTAAACGCCAACACTACACAAAAATACACCGTTTTATTGTTGTAAGAAAGTAATAAATTACATTTAAGACATTATGTGAAGTTGTTTTTTTTTTTTTTGCCTGCTCTGTTTCTTGTTTGCGTATGTACATATATTAACTTTATGCATTTAGTGGACAGTTTAGTCCTTAAAAAATGCTTTTGACAACCCTGCTCTAAATCTTCCAAGTGTTCCTCTAGATTTCTTATACTTTAGAGCATTAGTTAATATGATCTGGTATTTATGACATTTTATTGAGTCCCCACTGGATTAAACAGAAATGTTGTATTCATGAGGTCGCAGGTTATTCCCTACGATAGATTATTCCCTTTCGTCAGCACTGCATTCCTCTGTGCAATGGGGACCCATATGACATGGTGGGCTTTAATGAAGGTTTATTACAAGTAGATTTTGTACACATTATATTTTACGATTGTAGAATGCCATGTTTGTCCCTTAAAGACGCACTTTAAGTAACATGACCATTGCAACCCACTTGTAGAGATTATGGAGCCAGCTGTCCCCGGTTCTGTGTCAAACTGACAAGGATCTTATGAATGTCCTTGGCCCTTGCTTGGTATATTGCTATTGTTTAAGGAATCACATATTTCTTTATCACTATTAAAAAAATAAATTAAAAAAGAAAAGCAGGTTTTGTTACCTTTAACTCATATCTATTCTGTTTTATTCTGGGACAGATTGAGTCTCCTCTGACATTTTGTCTTTGAACTCCAATTCTCATAAATTTGACATGCAGAGAATTATGAGAATTGTAGTCCATCAGCATCTGAGGGCATCTGTTTGTGTCCCCTTGTATTGTGCTGCCTTTGTTTTAGATACACATTGTGATCTAACTTAAATTAAGGATAATTTTACATAGCGACTTCTTAATAATATATTGCTTGCCCAAGGAGGTCCTACTTATTAATAATAAGAGAGGATAAAGTATTGAATAAGCAGGAACGTTCCATTTGGGTTCCGTAGCATTATTTACATGATAACAAAAACATGACAGCAAAAATTTGTGCTCTACCAGCGAATTTCTTGATAAGTGATAACAGGCGTGTGCTGACAAAGCTATAAGGGGGCGGTCTATACAGGAGCAGTTACTTAATATTTAAATGAGGCTGTCTCCTTATAAAAAAAGAAGCTCAGAGTCTTGGTGACATGTGTCCTGGGGCTATCCTTTAAGATATGAGCTGTAGTGCAACGAGGAAGATGATGATGGTGAAACGGTTTAACATACCCTAACCCTAAGGTAAGTGAGCGCTCAATATTTGGTCATGTATTGTATTGTATTTGAAGTCCCCCAAAAAATAAAAATAAATAACAGCAGGGCTATTCATAAAAGTGTAAATTGCAGGAATTCTAAATGATTTCAAAGTGAATTTTAAATTTGAAGCTAAAAGCATAGCTGACGGTTTCACTTTGTACTAAGTTTCCCAAAACTTTTTTATTTAGTTTTTTTAATAGCTATCCACCTTAATGCTATCTAAATTCAAATCAAATAATTTAGCTTCAACATGTGAAATGTGCTATTCATTCTGTCTGCTTGTCAGTTACAGGTGCCTATGTTTTACAGTAAACTATTTTGCTTTTGAAATATTATTTTATTTTTAATGTCTCAGATGGGAAATGAGACCTTTTTTTAGGTTATGCACAAAAGTGAGGGTTGTTGAGAATTCAAAGGGAATTTTAAATTTAAGGCCACAGTGGCTGAAGTCAGTTATGCTTCCAACTGAATACCCTGTGTGTGTTTACTTAAGCAATGTGGTTTGTTAAAACAGTGGATTGTGCTGAACTGAAGTTGAAATTTGCTGAATTGTAGGACAAAATGATTGTAACAATATTCCAGCTCGTTATTTTGACCTTAATTTAGCAACTTCAAATTGCCTTTCACTTTATACCACTAAGGGTTCCTCTGGCAGTGGCAGATTGTACACTTGCCTGTTTGTAGTGATGAGTAATTTGTGTTACTTTATTTATAACACAGAACTTAAAGGGTCAGTGTCGTGTGTGAATCTTGTGTACATATATATTTTTATTTATAAATATTATAAGTCTTACATTTTAAAGAAACACTCTGTGTGACATAACCACAGCTCTTCCCAGTTACATGATGATAAATAATTAACTTGACATTATCTCCCCCAAGGCTATAATTAATCGTGTGGTTAAGACCTGATAGTAAAAATAGTAAGAATCAGACTGTGCCGATATCTCCCATTGTTTTATGCCCGCTTGATATTATTGTGTCTGGTATCTTGGTTTAATCATGGATATAACAAAATATCAGCTTGGTTGCAGCTTTCAAGTTATGCACTCCTGACACTACATAAATATGAAATACTGATGTTAAATCTATGTAAGCCGATCCTGGCTGGGAACGGTTGTTCCCCATGGTGGTCATAGGAAATAGCTGTAGAAGTTTGTGTAATATGATAAACATTTCTCTTTACATATTTATTTGCAGGGGGCCTGCTCCAAATGGTGAATTCAACAGCAGTTTAAATCAGCTGTGTCTCCTTCTGCCTTTGGTGCTATGTGTGGGATATCATCATATACTGTAAGTTTGTTATAAGACACTACAGTATAGATGATGTACTATACCAAACCTCACGAACACCGGATACTGTAAGAGCTCGAGCTACGGGAAGGCCTACTCTACTTTCTTCCCTTGACACATCGGAACCCTAAGTAATCAGTATTTGTGTAGGCTTATTTCCCACACCCCCGAGTCCCTTTTGTCTTTCTAGGAACACAGGAGAAAAAAAAAAGTATATATATTTTGTTAGACTGTTACAATGTACAATAAGCAATCATTTCTAGACAATTGTCTGTTAGATGTAATAGTTTTTTCATTTGCAGATGTCTTATAAATATTTCCAAATGGTCAAATACTAAGAATATATTGTCTTATGGTCAGTCAGTCACATTATCACCCTAGCTGGGTGCAATGCCCTGTATCAAGAGGTCAATTAAAAGTTTGCTCACGGGGAAACGTGGGTATGTTTGAGGAGCCTCTCTATAGGCCGCAGCAATCAGGTATTCCTGTTTGTGTTGAATTAAAGGGTTGGTTGGGCAGTGGTTCTGGTAAAATTGTGAGAAACTGCTCTCTTTTTTAATTAAATTATTTTGATGAAGGTGTGTAGGTCATGAAGATAAAAGTATACTGACATAGCTAATATAAAAACATACTGTTCTTCCCAGCAGCGGAGCTACGCCGATGATTGTGGAGTGTCGGTTAAACCGTTACCATTACTGAGTTTAGTAATGGTAAGGGTTCTACTGCTGCTCCTCTATTCACCTTGAAGATCGCCAGAAGAAACCAGGACAAAAATGTATGACTGCATGCAAAAAATGTTTTGTTTTTTCATTCCTCTTTAGCAGATATTAACTTAATAAAAACACTTGTATCCAATAAAATCTAATCTTATAAAGTTTGTGTTTTCGGTTTGTTTGCCCACGGACAACTGTATCTAAGCAATCAGGGTTGGAATTTTACATTTTGATATGTGCACAAAGTGCCTAAAGCAGTGATTAGACGTTTGGCTCTTCATCTGTTATAGAACCATAGTCTGTAATACTTTTCCATAACCATTCGGATGGCTGAACATCAATGTAATAATAGACACAACAGCTGGGGCTTACACTCATCAGTGTGTTTACAATTAGCTTCCAGAATGTGGGCCAAACAAACCGTGTATATATATAAAAAAATATATATATATATTCTATATAAATATTCCCACAGGGAGAGTTTTTCTAAACATTTTATAGTTACTATATCTGCATTTTAATATTGTAATTTTATTTTTAACTCACGGTTTAGTCAATACGAGGCGGTGGAAGTGAATGTCTGGCATAAGTATAATGGGAGGTATAGTTCTAAACAGGCTTGCCATCTGTCTTGATTTCATCAGGACATTTCTGTAATAGAAAGGTATGTCCCAGATTCCAGATATTACTGCGGTCCCAAATAAAAGCACCCTTTTAAAATGTATCTCCTGTCCAGCCAGGTATAAATGGATGCTCTCATGTCCAGTATAAATAGATGCAGTGGTGTTTGTCTGCATTGTCAGACAGTGCATCTCTTTTGCAAGGCCCCAAGAGAACGTGATATGATGTTATACCCTCCCAGTTCTGTGAATCACAATGCTACCTTGGAGAGCAGGTGATGTTCTAGAGAGGTCTGCCACCATACATCATTAGAAAGGTAAGCAATATGGAAGGGTAACTGTAATAAGTAAAATAAGGGGGTGGCAATGAGATAGACAGCAAGAGGCTAGGCTTAAAGAGTTATAGGGACACAAAGAGTATGGATGTAGTATTTAGTGTTAGGGACAATATTTAGTGGTAGGTTTACAAGCCAGGGTAGTATTTAGGATTAGGCACTTATTTAGTGTTTAGGTAATGAGTGGATCTGGTGTGGGGTACTATTTTTAGAATTATATTTTAAAGTTGGGGCTATGGGTGACATTAAGAGTTAGCAATGATATGTTTAGAGATCTGTTAAGGGATGGTAACATACAGTTAGGATGGCCAAATTACATGTTGGAAGCAGATGAGACAGTAGGAGTTTCTCTAGGAATGGAGACAATGGATAGGTGGGGAGTTGGTATCGGGGAGAATGAAATGCATATAGCTCTTTCCTGTCCCCTTAAACACATATTGTGCCTGGTAACATTACACAGTATAATCCGTCAGTCTATCCCTGTTGCATCTCTCAAGCAGTGATATATGCCAACATTCTGGTTCTGCACTGTCTGCGTGGGTGGAAGATGTATTATGTGAAGATGTTATAGGTTCTCACCACAATGGCATAAGTAAGCTAAAACTTCTTTGATACCTGAGTAGGGACTAACAAACAGGAAAGATAACAGATTTTTTGTAAATTCTCAAAAACTCTGGTTTTACTCTCATACACACTGCAAACCATAGTCAGCCTGATTAACAACTATAAACATTGAGTCACACTACACATCATATTGTGGAATTTTGTAATACTTTCAGTATTGTTGCCCATTAGTGTGAAACTCTATAATACACACCTAGTAATGCTTTTATTTAGGTAAGGTATTCACTTAGGGAAAGCAACTGTAATATTAAATACTACCCGGAGTGTGCAACCACTTTCTGTTTCAAAGAATAAGATGATACAATTCATATTCTGTTTTTCCCCCATTTTATTTAATTTTTTAAATTTATTTAATTTTGCTCTTTCCATAGGAAGGACTGTATAAAAAACAAACAAACACAGAAGTGCATTAAAATATCACTTTTTAAACTTGACTGAAAGCCGCAAGTGAACATCACAAAGGAATATATCCATTAGATCTTTCCCAGCTTCCTGAGCAATTTTGCTAACCAGCTGTCCGCCGCGTCCAATAAGGATTTTCTGAATGAAGAAAGCAGAACACATTTTATTTACATGACTTAGCCACCATCAGGACCCACACAGCTCACAGCTAAGAGAAAGCACGTACCACATGGTTTTCCTTTTGTACAAGTAATGTCTGCATAATGACCAATTCCCCACAAGAACCTTCCTCCCATAAGTCTGTGACCTGGAAATACAAAATATTGGAAAAGGGATAAACTGACAGATTTCAAATAAGATATGGAAGAGAATACGACGAGGGTGAGAAAACAGCAAAAAAGGTCTTTAATGGAGGAAAATATAAATAAATAAATAAATAGAGAGCGAGAACAACAGAAGTAGAGAGTAACAAAGAAAGTATAAGTGACAGGTTGCATGAGTTGGTAAATTATTAGCTATTCAGTCGATGAATAGTTATGGTAAGGCCACCAATCACACGCTAAAAAAGAAACCTCTAAGTTTTAGATAAAACGTCTTAGTGTAGAAATAGATATGAACACAAAAAAGTAAAAAGAAAAAAAAAAAAAGAAAAAGAAAAAAAAAGAGGCAAAATGCCATCTGCGGACAAAGCATATACAAGACAAGGAACAAGGGTTGGTTAATTTGGAACATGCTTGAATTATTTTAGATTATAAGAAGAGAAGCAGTAGAAGTGCAGCTGTGAGCAGTGTAAAATAACCTGTGATTATTATGTTGTAGAAGAACCTACTGGCATGGTCATCCTAATAAGAGGGACTTACCTGGGTCACGTTATATGGGACCTCCTGGGGAAGATACTCCAGTAACTTCTCTCGGATTATGTTCTGACAGATTTCCTGGGGTGATTGAGTGGTAACAACATCACTGTGATATTCCCATTCCCCAGGCTTGGCAAGAGTCAGCAGATATTTCTGTGGGAAAAAATAAAAAAAATTACAGATTTTAATAAAATAAAATAAAAAAAGGTTCTATAAGAGGAACACGATCAGTGCCATGAAAGAAAAATGAAATCAGCCTTGTTAATGGAAAGGCTTCTATTAAACTCAAACCCGAAACAGTAAGATGAACATGAATAAAATACAATATACAGGGATATCATTTTTAATATGTGGGGTAACAACTTTTTGATCCAAGGAGATAACCGTCATTCAGGAGTCCAGATGGAATGTTTTCCGAGTTTGTTGCAAAATTGGAAAGCGCTGCAAATAGGTTTTTTTTGCCTTCTTTTAGATTAACAGCAAAAACATGTGAAAAGGCCAAAAAGATTTATGTGCTCATTAAATTCAGCCTATTCTATGTAACGATCTAGTGACTCTCTAAAATAAACAGACATAGAATTTGGTCTGGAATCATCAAGAGTGGGCATGCTATAAAAAGGGGATGGTAATTTCCAAATAACACCTTCAATTCAGGTGCTTTATTGACCCTTCTCTGCCTACAAATTCTAAATCATGGTTTTATTGTGGTGTTAAAAAAATAAAATAAAAAACACGAGGCAAGTATAAAACATACAGAGCAGTTTTGCAAAGTAAGTTTAGCCATATTAGAAAAAAGCACTTATGTCCACAATTTACATAACCAAACACTGTTTTATTTTACTGTAAAAGAGTCCTGTTTATGCACACACCTTACTTCTTGTGTTGGGTAAAATAGCCATATAAATAATGTAGAAATACAAAAAAAATGGGACCGACAGGTAAACCGGTGCAGCTATATATCACCTAGGCTAGTGTCACCAGCAACCCTAATAATAGCAAATAAACAAAACAAAAGGTAAAGCACACCCAGAGAGGTGTTATATTTACCAAACATGGTCTGCCATCAAAGTAGAATAAATCTACAAAAACAAACATTCCATAGTGTAAAATGTATTAACAAAATAAAATGTTTCACAATTGAACTACTCACACTATAGAGAGCCAAGAGTCGGCTCTAGACTTTAAAGGCACGACACAATATATGGTCAACCAGCCAGTTGATAGGATACAGGAATTCCAAGTCCCTTAAAAAGCCTCCAATCAAGCCACGACGTTTAAAAGATAATTTATTAGCCAAACCTTTTGGGCAAGGATGTAAAAAACACATACATGAAAGCCTAAGACATGGTCCAAATAAAATTAACAAAAGCACAATGCTTTTCGACCCTAAATAAGCAGGTCTTCCTCAGGAGTATAAATAAAAGAACGATTACTGAGAACTAGTTTTCTAAAGAAAAGAGATGCGTACCACTGGATGGTAAGGTATGTCTACTTCAAGGAGCCACTATAGGTATGATAAAACAAGGCTCAAAGAGATATAACCAAGCACAAATAAAACAAATAGAACACAAAACACTGGGTCACTAGCACAAGGCGCTTTAATCTTGATCCCAGGATCTTCAGGTAGCAAGGCCTGAAACCACTGGATACCCGGTGGTGATGTACAGACTATGACCTCATGTCCTTGAAATCTTGCAAGAAACACATTGATAAAACTTTGCCAAGCAACACTAGCACAAGTTGTCTAAGGCCAGCTGAATTGTGCCAACATGTTGTTTAGAGATATACACAGCTGGCATCTTAAAAGCTTGACAGTACAGCCAAAGGCTCTTAGTCGAGAACCAGAAATCTCTGCAGTGGGTACCGGAAAAACCCTCACTGATTCAAAGAAGGGAAGGGGGAGTAAGGGGGCTGGTTCAGTGGCAGAAGCAAATAGAGAGCAGGGAATCGGCCCCATCCACCGACTCGCATAAATGAGCAGGCCTAGTTCTCTTTTAAATGTAAGAAAACTCCTTCCCAATCAAGTGTACAGTAGCCCTGGGACTCCAAGGCGAGTATAACCTTTCAAAATTCTGTATTTGAGCCCTGAATTAGGAATCGTGCAAAAAAATAATTAAAAAAAATAATGATATGGGCCTTCGTTAAACCATAACCTTTACAAAAGCATATTTTATGATTCGTTGAGTGTCCCTCTAACACCTTAGCCATCAATTAAGCTACATAAGCAGAGGCAGACAATTAATATGCTGACAGTGCCATAATTTTAAATAGCTTCTATATTTAATAGAATTAGACAAAAATAATCAAAACGGATAAAATCTACTTTTACACTGAATTAGGTGAGTAGTTTTATAATAAAATACAATAAATCCACCATAACAAATTCAATCCTATGCAGATAGCTGCATTACAACGCACTTTGAAAAGTAAGCAAAGGAAATCCAATTCACTACAAATACCTTCAGTGTCTCCACTTCTTCCCCATTAATAGCGGATAGCATGAAAACGTCTCGGAAATGAGGCCAGCCTTTCCTTTTCTTCAGTTCATTAATTATCTTTCTTCTTGCCGCATCAGATTCTTCATCAGCAAATTCATCCACATCTGGGGATAATTTAACAGATACTGGCTCATTCACAGTCACTCCTGGCTCTTCAATCTCAAACGAGGAAGTGTCTTGTCCCTTAGACGTGTGGCCTGTGTTATCACCATGGCTTGGCAAAGGTTTTACCAGAGGTTTTATCACTGCCTTTTTGTTATTTACAATCCCTTCAGTCAGTTGTTTTGTAATTTCAAGCAAAATGCCTTTCTGTTTCACCAGGTCTACCTACAGAAAAAAAAAAAAAAAGGAAAAAAAAAAAAGTATTGCAAAAACGGATTAATCATTTAACAATTTGGCTAATCAATGTAAAAAATCGAAATACAAACAGACCTTTTTGCAAATATTTGTTAGGGCTGTTGCGTTGAACTGTTCCTATGCTTTTTTATTTTAAGCTTTTTGCATAAATCATGCAAAACCAAAGGGTTGTGAAAACACATGTTTGGATCAATGTGTAGGCAAAGTGACCGTTATGCTGGTGCTTTTCCTCCTGGTTATTCTTTTATCAATACTAAGTAGCAATAATTATAAGCCAACTCTTTCTGCTCCCTAACTTCTATCCCGCAGAGCCCCAACCCAAAGGTACTGCTAAATACAATGCCACGATTTAGGTTGCTTAGATAGCTGGGGGTTGTAGTTCATTTGCTAGCTTTCCAGAGCAGAAATCTAGTAAATTAAACAAGTAGAAACCTTTGTTGTGCGGATATAGTAAGCATCAGTCACTTCTTGATTTGGTTAGTGCAATGTGTAAATCCTACACAGCATGGAGTTGTGCAGAAAATTCTAATAAATCATTCATAATAAATCTTCACCCTCCCCTTCAATTATTGTTTTTGCATATTTTTATTGTTATATTGAAAAAAATGCACACAAAAAATGCACAAAAAAAAAAATCTAAACAAACTTGAAAATTCAAAATCTGAATTACATATAAATAAATACATTAATGTTCTAAAGTCGACAGTCTCCCTCTCACTCTGCCAGATATTAGGGCGTGCTTGGCAACTACTACAAATGCATCATTCAAATGGGGTGATCACCCATAGAATGCTTCTCATTAGGAAATAGACTGATGAACCCACTTCTGGAGTGAAAGCATTCACTTCTGCTTGAACAGGAAGCCTTCCTGATTATCAGCTTCATGAAACCTCATAAAATCCACTCCTGCAAATGCAGAGTTTCTCTTGAAAGGTCGACCTCCTGTTGGCACTTAAGCACTTCAGCAATCTGAAGTCAATTAGGGGGTCTGGAGTATACCTTAAAAACTTACGTCTCTGCAAAGAAGTGCTCCATTTTGGAGAACCCCTGGTTGCTTTGCTTGTCGGGAGATTCACCATTGATTGAATCACCATTTTATTAGTATGGATTGTGAGAATATCAAACAATTACCTTATATTATGCTACAAGGTTAATTGAGTAGGCTTGCTTGTAGCATATCAACTACAAATGTTTGATATGATGTAAAATATCAATTCTGTGTACAATTTTAACAAGAACACAATGAACTTTATTCAGTAAACTGGGAAATGCACTGCATTGACAAGGGAACTTCACGTTTTAGTCCAAAGTATTCTGACCCAGCATTTGAAAACAAATTTCACTCATCCACAATTCCTATTTAATGTCTGCACTTACCTTGTTCATTACCAGTATGCTGGGGATCGTAGGGTATTGAAACAGGCACTTTAACACTTCTGTATGGAGAGAATGCCTTGTCCACATATCTGAAGCGTCCACTAAAATCAACACTGAAGACAATGGCATTTTAAATGATCAAACCTTATAAACATATGACGTATGGCATAGTTTAAAAGATCTACAGTCGGTACAAAAAAGAAAAAAATTTAATAAAAATCATCAGCTAGGAGGGCAACTACTAATCCTACAGGAGCTTGATTACTATGAATGCAAATCACACATTTATGCTGCTGTACACAAAGAAAAGAATTATTAATTTACTGATTAATGACCATAGTACAAATCTTCACTCCCAGCTCAGTACATACAAGGGCAGGAGAAATTTGACACCTAAAACAATCTAGTCTATGTTTTTTTTTTTACTTTAATTCAACCCAAAATTGAACAATAAATAAGAGAATAAACATTTTCTGACAATCATCTCATCACCGTGACTGTTGTGTGTGTATATGTATGGACGTGCATCTCTTAAGTAAAAGAGCCTGCAAGTCACAAAACGTCCGAGGCTACAGCAGCAATGCAGTGCTGGCGGGGGATTGAGATAACAGAGTTAAAAATTGGAGGATTCTCTGCAGGCTGCAAAAAACTATTAGTAGGCCTTTCTGGATACAGGAGCATAAATTATTATACAGGTATTCTATGTATTTGGAGAACTAGTTACATATTGAAGTGATGTCTTGTTATATACATTCCCCCTATTTTCATGAACTGGGTATTTAACCATTTTTCCAGTGATAACATGTATATATTCTGAATGTACTAAAATATAAAAAGAAACAAACAAAAAAAGTCTATAAATTAACTTTTATGTCTTATTTTTATGTTCATTGCTATTCGGCAATATTTAGAAAGGCATGTGATCTATATTCATATTCAAAGCTGGCATTATACAAAGCTACCAATTATGGGCTCACCCAAGGATCAAAACACTCAAAAAAAAAAAAAAAACTTCTCCAGGTTCAGTTATAAATATGACCTTTATTTGGGGAAAAATAATAAGATAGTATAGGTTTTTCCAAAAGAGGAGGGAGCAAAAAAAAACAAAAACAAAAAAACAATATATAAACAAGTTTAATGTGTAAAATTGCACTTAATCATAATATTTACAACTAGAATGGCTGCTAGATACTGGCCAAACAGATCATTAAAATTATTACATTTAAATCAGACAAAGTGTTAGAAACAGGGCTGCTTTTGTAACACAAAACACGTAGTCTGCCTTTTATCTAGTGTACGACTTCTGATAATGTTCACAACCCTATTTCTTTAGCAACAATCTAAACTCAATATCACATGGCTTCAGCTTGTGCAGATAATTCTAATTGTTCCAAATCATGCTATTAAAAAGCACTAACTTTCAACACACAGTCGTCGGTGCTATCTAAAATTATATTCTGTCTGTCCCCTAGGATATCCTTGTTTATGAGCTAATGTGTTTCTTAAGAGCTGATGTATTTAGAGAGTTCAGCTTCACGGCGACCTTCTCATAACAAAGTGTAAATGGGATAATACGCTTACCTACGTCAGCCAATTTCATGCAGTCCCAAGGGTCTTTCTGTAGAGACTTCTCCAAATGATGTCTTAAAGAAAATGCAATACGAAATTAAGTGAAACGCACGGTGCTTAATATTTTAACAGTTTGTCACTTGAATAGAGAATAAATGAGACGTTGCACAAACAGCAAGTTAACTGGATAAGAGAATGGATTTGAGGAGGATACCAGAAAATGATTGATATGAATTATACTGTGAGATGTATTCCCCCATTCAGTCTGACCGGATAAAAAAAAACGCTAAATCTCACCCCACAGGCAAGTAAAGGACTTATGATTAATTTCTGTGTTTCTTCCTATTCCAATTTAACATAAAATTATGCAGAATTAGAATTATAGGTACGGTGTTAATTTTGGTGAAAAAAAAAAATTAATCCCAGCTACAAAATATACAAAACTTGGACTATTGGTTAGATCTGAATGCAGTTGGGAAAGTAGTCTTGAGTAAAAAGTTTTAAGAGAAGACAAATGTCCCAAAACATTTATATGTACTAGGATACCAATGAAAAAAAACCTGCAATTCACAAGCTCTTGTTTCTGCTTGAAGGAATGCTTAACTTAAAACGGAACATTTAGAAAGCAAAGAATTCACCTAGCAGGGTGGGTGGGGAAGAATGACATGTTGTAAACGTTACAATGAGTCAAGGAGTTTCAATATGAAGTCTCCTGCTGGAGTGGAAATACCTAAAATAGTGAGTCTAAGCGGTTCAAGGACCAGGGAAAAAAATGAAACTCAAGCTGTGTAGTCCACAACATAGGGAGTGCCTAAAGTCGTCTACCCCTAAACTAGGGCAAGGAGGCACTCCTCAAGTCACTGTGTGCCAGATGTTATCTGAGACTCTCTGTTTGGGCATGAAACCACCAAGAACACAGTAGGGATTAGTCAGCATTCTAAAATGGAATGAAAAATAATAATAAAGTTTTAAAAAAATTAATTTTTAAAATATATATATATATATATATATATATATATATATTCATTCAAGTAGAGATTGTAGCCGTATTAGTCCAGTGTATGTATGTATGTATGTATGTATGTATGTATGTATGTATGTATGTATGTATGTATGTATGTATGTATGTAAATATATAGAAGGCCGGGTCCCTCCCTTCCTTATAAATAAAAATTATGAATGCCTATTAAGCTAGAGCTCTCAACCGAGGCTCCACCCCCTTACATGAATAACCTTGTCAGTGTCACAACAGAACTGATTTCCAACCCTGCTCTTTATTCAGAATCTAAAGCTCCAATTGACTTTCCAATGTAACCTATTCTTTTCACAACAAAACAAAAACAATGACCTATCATCATCTATGGACTCACGTCGCAGAAGATTTGCAGAATAGTTTATTCTGTACCATTTTGTTTTATACTGAAAAATAAGTACAAAAAAGGGTGTCAAAAATGTAAAAAAATAAATAAAATATGCCTTCAGCATCACAGGTGGAGGTAGTGTACCCTCCTGGGAATAAAGAAAGAAACGGAAAACATAATTATAATAAGAAAAAACACTTTGTAAAATCCAGATTGAGTTCTGCACTAAATTTCTCATAATGTAATCCAGATAATGTAACAGGGCCTGTGACATTGTGGTTCTAAGCAGAAATATAATTTGCAAGATCTCATTAGCTAAAATTGGTGCATTAAGATCTGTTAAGTTCGATAGGGAATGTAATGAAAGGAATCTTCCTTTTAATACATTGTCTACATAATGCAGTTAAAAAAAAAAAAATGAGGACATTTCCAGCCTGGTTTTCCCTTTAAATAGCTACAGACTACTTAGCATTTTACCAGGCTCTACAGTGAGCCCAGCTGCTGCCAGCTCAAAGTTTAGGAATTCAGTGTGTTTATTGACAATGATTAGCATTTGTTATTTGCAAATTGAGGAGACTGAAATTAAAGTTTTACATGACAGGTAAAGGCTTTGTAATAAAGAAAAAAACTCAAGTTCTACATCATAAAAATGTATTTAGTGTTGTAATAAAGCAGCAGCAAGGCTAAGTGAAGCGAGATACATAACATTAAATGGGGCACAAAGCACCATAACAACAATGTTGCATCACGGAGTAAAAAGACAGATTCTTGATTGGCCAAACGTTTTCCTGATGGGAAAGGGGTTTTTCCATCTGCAGGACTTGCACGGCTTTGGCAAGTTTTGTTGCATAATTTCTCTTAATGCATTATCTACATAAGAAATCCTGCAAATTGTGTCCTTTTAGTACATACTGGTTCGGTCATGAAAATCAATCACCACAAGGACAGCAGGAACAAAATGCATTTAGTCACGCTTTACTCCAATAACTGATATTCTCACAACTTCTTAGATCCTTTTGCATGAGTGTCAGGCACCAGTGCAGTTTGTGATCTGGGCACTATTCAATGGTGTACATGCTGACTTTCATTCTGACTAGGAGTGAGGCAACCGAGCCAACAGGAGCCATATATAAATAGCAAATTTATAGAAATGCAACATCCACCGTTGGTTTTAGGCCACTTCAATATAACTAGAGTATTGCTTTTTTTCCTTCTTCAATAGATAATCCCAAAATTCGCAACTCCAGTGTCCCTACATTTTACAACTCGTAGCAGTTTCAGAGCATAGATAAAATGGGAAATAACCGCTTCAGGACCAATGCATGCCATACACATAAATGACATAGAAGGGTATACAAAGGTGACAGAATGCTTACATGTCGGCACCTTGAAAGAGAGGAGGAAGGTGTATTTGAACCTCATTCTCCTTAGTGCATACATCTCCTTCTTGGTCTTCAGATACTAGAGGCTTCATCTGCCATGAATTGTGCCACTATTGCATTCTCACGCATGCAGGAAAGTATAAAATGGGTTTCTAAGGAAGATCTAGTGAGACAGAAGGATCTTTCATGCATGATCGTGTGCATGCGCAATGAAATGTCATATGCAAGATGTGAGAGAAGCTCCACCCATTGGTATACACTGACAAAATTTCCAACAATCTGTGAGGTAGATTTAGCAACGTGTTGCAAACTCTTTTCTGACTTATTTTCAATCTGACAGTTATTGTTAATCCATTGCTTCGTTTTTGTCTGCCATAAAAACCATGGAAAATGTTTTACCATTATAAATTTGGTGATCTTTTGAAATGGAAATTTCTGCAAAAACAGCCAAATTGATGACTTTTAAAAATACAATAATAATAATAACTGTGCTTAATTGACACTTTGATAAATAACCTTCAATGAGTTCTAGCTTTGAGAAAAATGCAAAAAGTGACAGCGCCAAAGAATTTAGACACAGCATTTCCATATCCTAACAAATCGAGGGGTAGCATAAGTAAATAAGGGTAAATAAGGCACATGTTTCTCCAGGTTACGATATAAAATAGTGTCTTGCCAAACAGAAACAAATTACCAGTAAGGTATATACCAGTTGCAAAGACCACAAACAGACTTTACCTTTTAACTTTCGTGTTGTTGACCATACCAGGAGTGTCTAAGAGAATCTGGAGATAGAAAGCCAGACAACAAAGTGTTAAAATGACCACTGCTTATTAAAAGGTCTCAGCAGGGGCATTGCTAGTCTGACTGGGTAAAAGAAGGCTTAAGTCCAAAAATATATATGCACCATCTCTACCCATTGATATAAATACATATATAAATTATCTCTAGCATGTAAGCTCATGTGAGCAGGACCCCCAACCCATCTTGTTACAAATACTTGTTGGTTAGTCCATCCATTGTACAGCGCTACAGAATTTGTTGGCGCTTTATACATAATACATATCAAACAATGATGCACACACACAGTTACACATAAACAATATTACATATGAAAATGCATACACTGTTACATATATTCACACATACACAAACACCTCACACAAAGTCTTACACATACACACACACACACACACTGTGACCACCAAGCCTTTGGCTACCTTTCCCTTATGGTTCAGTGTATTGTTTTGCACCTTCATCAGATGCAGGAAGTGTGGTTTCTCACAAGAGCAACAGTGTTCAGAACATTGCTGTTGTAACATGCAGCAACACACCGAACAACCAGAGCCCAAATACCAGTGGTCTATTCCATGCCCCAATGCCCCAATCCTGCCCAATTTTTTCAGTTCTTAGTTTTAACACTAAATAGAAAACAGTAGAAAGGGGGGGAGGGGGGGGGAGAAAGAATTGAAGATATTGCTCAGAATCACCAAGTGTGTGTCACTCCAAATCACACAAAATTAAACAAACAGAATATAATAAAACAATATGGGGAGAGCAAAATATGTGGTAAATAAACCAGTCGTGGATAATATATAAAACATGCAATATTACCATATATCTGTATGTGTCCAAGAAATATAAAACACAGAACATTGTATAGCCTGTATATGGTAATTAAAGTTAATGGAGAAAAATATATCTCACTCACGTGGTGCTGAGCTAAAAATGGACGAAACGCGTCGTGCAGTTTATCCTTTATTGGAGATCCAGTATTTTGCTGCGTTTTATGTTATTATTAAAGATACTTGTTCCTGTACCTACACCTTTGTTTGGCGTTTGTGGAAATCGTCCAGAAGGAAAGTAGAGAGCTTGCAGTGAACTTCCTGTATCTCAGTTCCAGCATTTTGGTCTCCAATTTATTAATTAAGGCGCTCATAGTCTGAGCCACTTTCTAACGGCTCAGCACCATGTGAGTGAGATATTTTTTTTCTCCATTAACTTTAATTACCATATACAGGCTATACTATGTTCTGTGTTTTATATTTCTAGGACACATACAGATATGGTAATATTGCATATTTTATATATTATCCAAGACTGGTTTATTTACCACATATTTTGCTTTCACCATATTGTTTATTATATTCTGCTTAGTTTTAACACTGCATTTATCACATCAATTTTGAATCATATTCACAATGCTCTTACAGCAGATTTCAATACACTTTAGCTTATTTAGCACTAGCACGTTTTAATTTGGCTCCCACGTTTGCATTAGTGTAAGATCCACCAATATTGGGGTACAGTGAAGTAGTGGTGGGCTTAATACAATATGGTGGAACTTAATCCTCATATTTGTTTGCCGAGAGGTATTTTTAAATAGCCTTATAAAATGTAAACATTTATTTTTATGTGTGTGCTGCACCCTTAATCTGTATTATGAGGGGACTTGTGATAAACCGTAACGAATATCAAAATTTAGACCCAGGGTTCCCGTGGGGTCAATTGGCTCTAGCCATGGTTATTTTTTTTGTTATTTATGAGTGAAGTACAACCCTTCAACCATATTGCTGTAGTTGTAAATACAGATAAAGTTGTATTGCTGTAGTTGTAAATACAGATACTGTGAGATAGGAATAAGGAAAATTGAGTGCTATACCATTTTTTGAATTTTTGAAGATGTAAAAAAAAAAGTAAATTCCAAATCTATACTGACATGAAATAGATTTTACAGTTGGTTTTACACCTAAGGTGTTTAACATAACCATTTTATACTCTGTGACCTAGCTCCTCATTGTGCGGTTTGCGTGCTGTATGTGGCTCACAAAGCCTTCACTGGCAGCTCACAGAAAGCTGCATTAGCACACAGCACCCATCTCCCAGTTTGGCATTGCCCCATTCCGTAGCACATCCAAGCGATACAGAGATTGAGAGGGTTACGGTTTTTCCATCTCCTCTGCACGGTCTGTCAGCTTGGCGCACACAGTCTGCAGTATGAGTGGAGGGGGAGAGAACTGGACATCATATCCTTCCCTCTGCAGGCTGAACATGCTGTGTGGACAGACCGGTTGGGGAGATGGAAATCCCTCTCAGTATCTGTATCACCCTGGATGTGCTACAATGAGGATAAATAAGGGAGATGGAGCTAGGTACACACAACAGGGGTGGTCACATAAATGATTTACACAATAAATTATGTGAACAATATGGTGGAGGAGTGAAACAAGAAATTTAAGGCGGGTTTGGGGACACCAAGGGACAGTGCAGGGTATACTACAGGGATTCGCAGTAAAGGTTAATCTCCCTATTGACTGTTTGTTTTCCTAAATGAGCCACAGTGGCAAGAGAAAAAAAAAAAAAAAAAAAAAAGTGATGAACAATGCCCTATGACTGTAAAATCTGATACGCTTGACCAGTTTAACCCCTTAAGGACCAAACTTCGGAAATAAAGGGGAATCATGACGTTACACATGTCATGTGTCCTTAAGGGGTTAAAGATAAAGGCACAAACAACAAAATGACAAAAACTGTGCACTCACAGAGAGAAAAACTAACCCACCAATTGTGTTTCTCCATCTGTTAAAACACCCTGACCTTGGCAACGTGTGGTGTGCACTTTCTTGGATACAGGAAAAACCTGGGGGGAAAAATAAATACAAGCATGAAATAATTTGTAAACCAGAATATCTGGGAGTTCTCATCGACCATTGTTAAGAAAATCTATCCCACCTACAAGCTAAGCCACCTGGCTGCAATAGATTACTAAACTTTCTGATCTTGAACATTGGTTCTCCTACAATTCTACTGTGCAGTTTTATTTAGGTGTGAATGTTTCATCAGAAAATTTAAATAAAAATCACACACAATGCTGGCACAAAAGGCACTCACAGACTTTTTGACCTATAACCACTACAATGAGTGCCTTCTTACTGTAAGTGCATAGCATTGGAAATTTAAGGTAGGTTACAAGGAGTTATTGGTGGCATTTTCCAGGTTGATGATAGCTTGTTACCTTTCTACCCAGTAGTTTGTTGGATAAAGTAGATTTTCCTGCATTTGGAGCTCCTAAAATCACAACTCTTAAGACCTTTGGGTTCTCTGGTTGGTCCGGTTTATGCAGTAACAAGCTGTCATTTTCACCTGCAGGGCGAGCAGAAAGGGATATTTAAAGAAACACATTAAATTGACAAGAGACAGTATAAAAATTGAACCATAGGCATATTAGACCCTTGTTAAGGTTTAAAAGAGAATGCAGTATAAAGCTTGTCCTTGAAAGGGTTAAAAAGACGACAGTAGCTAAACTACCTCCAAATTTAAGAAAGGAATTTTATCGTTGGGTCATGTTTCCAGTCTCTGAATTAGGCACTGACATTAACAAGTTATGCTGGCGATGTACAAATACACTGGTAAATTAGAACCTCATGTTTCATAATTTGATATGTTAACGCATATTAACGAGCAGTTAAGGATGTTGAAGATATAATCAGACTATGCCAATCCTTTTTAATTCCATCTGAATTGAAAACACAGTTTCACCAATCTGAAAATGGTAAAATTGTGATAAGAAGAATTACTCTGACCTTAAGGGGCCTAAAGTTGAGTTGATGGAGCCCGTCAGCGTCTCTCTGTGTCAATATCCAAAGCTTCAATGAGACAGGTACCTCTCCCACACAGTTTTCTGAATGGGGAGCTAATGATAGGCTGAGTGTCAGCTGATCCTCTCAGCCTATTCCTGGCACCTAGTCCAAGTATTCCTCACTGAAAACATCACAAGGAGAGGGGAAGAGCTGTATACTCAACTAAGTTTCTGATGATTCCATTAAGAGAACACGCCGGGAACCTCTCATCTCTATTAAGTGGTTATGTTGCATGGAGGTCCTGGTCGATGTTTTATCTTAAGGGGTTAAAACGTTTACGAACAATTTAACCCCTTAAGATAAAACATCGACCAGGACCTCCAGGCACCATAACAACTTAATAGAGATGAGAGATTCTTGGTGTGTTCTCTCAATGGAATCATCAGAAACTTAGTAAGTTCAATACACTTTTCTGACAACTAATGCCAGAAATATTTAACTTAATTTTATATTTTACAGTAACATTGATCCCCCCCACACAATACCCAGGACAAATTGAGCAACAGACACAGTAAGTATGTTTTCGTTGTATGGAAGGGTTTGTTAACGCTAGTCCACTGCTAGACACCAGATGGAGGTACACCAAGAGAAGAAACCAATGTGTACCTGCAGCTCGAAGGACCAACGTTTATCACCCCTGCCCAAAGCAGTTCAGGAGAGAAGGGAAAGAGGACATTGCCATTAAACACAGTTGATGCTTGGCATTTATGAGGTCAATAAACTCTGCCTTCAGTGATGCTCCTCTGACCAGGAAGCCATCAATATCAGACTGTGATGCCAGCTCTTTGTAAGTGAAACCAGTGACAGAACCTCCATAGATGATTCAAATTTTTTTTTGCAACATCTTCAGAAACATTGGTTTTTAGCCACTCACGTAGCTTGATATGCACCTCCTGGGCTTGCTGGGGTGTGGCAGTTTTGCCAGTGCCAATGGCCCAGACTGGCTCATATGCAAGAACCACTTTGCTCCAGTCCTTCATGTTATCTGCAATGTCTTTTCTCTGCTCAAAAAAAGCACTTTCTCTGTGATACCAGCCTCAAGTTGGTCCAACTTTTCCCCGATACAGGCAATTACACCAGTGCCCTCTGACAGCGGACGTGCTACTTTCTGGCCAATCAGCTCATCGGACTCGCCAAACACATGCCGCCTCTCAGAGTGCCCAAGAATCACCCAGGTGGTCCCAAAATCTTTAAATCACAGCTGGGCTGATCTCTCCAGTGAAAGCACCTTTGGCGACTTTGTAACAGTTCTGTGCAGAAACTCCAAATTTTCCATCAAGCTTCTTACCTGCACAGTCGAGGTAGATGAAAAGTGCGCCAAAGACCACCTTTGTGTCATCATGGATTTTGGCATTATTAAGGATGGCGATGAGCTCCCCCAGGCACTTCTTGCCTCCATTCAGCTTCGTTCTCCCCCCACAAAAAAATTTCCTGCTTGGGGACATGATTCCAGGTGGCAGTGCAAAGTTGTAAAGTGCAAAGTTGTAAGTGCATTTGTAACGCATTAGCAGAATGAACAAAAACCTCCCATGAATTGCAGACAAGAGCAAGCAATGCTAACAAACTAACATTGTAACTACAACAGAATACACATATGAACAACACCTGAAATGTCAGTATTTAAACTATCTTAAAGAAAGGCATACACACTGCACTGTTCATATAGAATAGGATAATTATGCACCTGTCATCCTGAATGTACTTGGCTTCAACCTGTGATGCTATAGAAAATCCTGCCAACATGCTAGCTTATTTACATTAACCTCAAGTTATCAGCTTCTGAAGCTCGACATTGTGAAATTACTCAGTATTTTATTCCGCGTTAAAATTCAATAAATTATCTGAAAATTGTGGACTGTGATCACTTTAAAAACGATCTCATGATTCTGATTGACAGTCAGAAAATATTACTGACAGGGGGTTGCAATATACCCCTTTTGTTCTCAATGCAGTATGCATTTTCTGCGACTGAACTATAAGCATCACGGGAGTGCATAACTTTACATTCAGCCTAATTCATAAAGACATAAAAAGTAAAATTAGAATTTATTTGCTTTCACAAATTCCACAAACCATAATACTTTAATTTCTCATCGACTTCCTGGAACATCAAATCACAAGCAATGTTAGCATGGAATCGATGAAAATACTTTCTCCAGTTTGTAAACACTTTAAAATTAGGTTTCATGCCTACATAGAGCTTTTATAATTTATTCTTCATGATCTTTCTGCCGCTGTCGACCACCAGCTTCTCTTCACCCTTCGTGACGTTGTCCTTAATGATACCGCTCTTTCCTGGTTCTCCTCCTTCCACTCTGAGACCTCATTCAGTGTTTCCTTCTTTGGTCACTCGTCCCCTTCTGTACCTCTCTTGGTTGGAGATCCTCAAGGTTCTGTACTGGGACTTTTCTCAATTTATACTGCCTCTATTGGTGAGCTTACATCATCCTATGGCTCTCAATTATCACCTGTATGCTGATGATAGTCATATCTACCATTTCTCACCTGATCTGTCTTCCAGTGTGCTGGACTATGTCACTGACTACCTATTCTCTGTCTCTGACTGGATGGCTTCACACTCAACCCTTTTGTCACACAGGATGCCACAAAAATGCTTGTCCATACCCACAAGACTAAAGAAATGTGCCCCTATTAATATTTCTTCCATCGTAAGCAGATATGTTCTAGCCCGGCCTCTTACTGTGGGATTCTTATACCCACACCCCCAGACACTCGCCTGCAAGACTTTTTCAGGACTGCCTCCTCTTTATGAATTCCCTCCCGTGCCACATTAGACTCTCTCAATATCTATACTCCATCAAAAATCCTTAAAATTGCAGGCTTGCTGGGCAGGGCCTTCTTCAACTACTGCTCTCATATGTCAAACATGTTTTGTTAGAATTATTTATCTTGGTATATCTATCGTACAGTGCTGCGTTATATAAAACTTTGTAATTCTAAAACCAAAAAAAAAGCTCCACAAAAAAACTTTCACGCAATACAGTGATATATTAAGTAACTGTTTAATAAGGGAAACTGACCCTTACAGTTACACTTACTGCATTCAGAAACTCCTGAAATGGAAAATTAAATGAATGCTCCAAGTGCCCTGTCATACCCCCAATGTAACTAGTCAAACGGTTTGCTAATGGTTTGACTTCTTACCAAGAGTCCACAAAACCTCAGACACTGCCTCTCTGCTCATAGCAATGCCCAGCAGTGCAGGAAGCTCTCCGCCAGTGAGCTGGCCATGCTCTGCAAGGTTTAGCTAAGGAGAGACAACAGAAGCTTCAAGCAGGAGCAGAAGGAAGTAAGTGGCGCGAAGTGAACCTCAGATAACTATTCAGACCCAATAGTTACAGTACATGATGTATTTCTTTAATAAAATATTTTTAGAAACTTAAAAACATGTTCACTGGTATAGGAAAGACTAGGCAATTGATAAATATTTTTGTACACATACCTTCTCTTTAAATTTCTGTCTAGCGCTGGATGGTCTCTTTTACAGTCTACATTACTCTCCCCCCAAGCAACAAAGTAAAACCTTTAACTGAGTGTCAGGAAGGTATGCTCAGACTATGCGCTGGCAATGACTCTCATAAAGAAGTACTAAAATCAATGGTTCTCTATCCCCAACCTTCTCTAGTGAGGAAAGAAACCAAGGGGGATATTCTAAAAGTGCCGATTGCTCTTGAAATCTGCACTTTTATAAAATAAGACAAATGGCACAGCTTGTGAAAATTCTTTAAGGGACTAAGATGTTCCCAGCACATCCTTGTAATAGCAGCATGATCTTGTAGAAGGAGAATGAATATGAAACTGGTTTCATCTCTTATTCAAACATCAGGGAGTATTTTAAATGGAAATTTCATGCTGGATTGATGCCTCTTTTTCTGGCATGGAATATTCCAAGCATTTGCAGGGGTCTACAAAATCCCTGATAGAACAAAAGATTAAAAAAAACAGATACTCATTGGTGGGGTAGTTTTTTTTTTTAAATACTATATGTCATGCTTTATCATTTGTACTTATGATACCAGGGTCCTTGGCATCTCTTCAATATTGCATAGAGTCACTTACCTTTATCAAATGGTACAGGCACTGTATATTTTTGGATCAAATTTTCATTGGGCGTTTGCTCTGGGTTCACACCTAGCAACTGCCCGATCGCAGAGTCCTTCCCATTAAAACGTGTAACACACACATTGACCCACTGAAGTGATCTCTTCTTTAAAAGAGTGTTAATAACTGCAAAAGATTAGTTTTGTTTTGTTAATCATAAATTATACAGTGAATTGGTGATGCAGATTTAGATCATCAGAAGTACATAGAAATCATGAAATGTCTTAGAAATGACATAATACCCCTTTTCATAAGTAACCAACCACCCCTCAAAAAGTTAAAATAAATGTTCAGTATCGCTTTATTTTTTGCAACATGTTGGGATGGAGGGAAAAAATCCTGAAATGCTTTGAAAGAATGCAATTTTTTCTAGGATTTTTTTTTGTTTGTTTGCTTGCTCCAGGTCCAACATCATTGTCAGGGTTATTTACAACTGGAAAAAATCTCAAATTATTTTGCATGTATTCATTTTGGCTATGTCGGAAGAAAGAAAATTACTTAGAACCGACGTTTATTTACCGACAATTGCCAAATTTGTGAATACCTCTGTTACAATATTTCGTTTACACAATTAATCAATGATACACTTGAAGTTATTTGCTTAACCACACCCACCCACAAACTTATTCTAAGTTTTGGTGGGTGTAACCTAATTATATCCTAAATGTATGCCTCATTTTATAGAGTAAGCAGCAAATAACCTTAAAAGAATACTAAAGGGTCAGAAACATAAACATGTATTCCTGATCCTATAGTGTTAAAACCACCATTTAGGTGGCTTGCCCTGCCCCTTAAAAGGTAAGAAAATTTACCTTATTTCCAGTGCCGTGAGGATCCACCGGCGCTAGCCCCATCCCACCTCCTTGGCTGACATATTCAGAACTGATTTTTGGGAAGCATTGGATTGGTTGAGATAATCAAGGAGGTGGGGTGAGGGCAAGGTCAAACTCCAGCTTGGCCAATCAGCATCTCCGCATAAAGATGCACTGATTAAATGCATCCCTGTGAGGAAAGTTCAGTGTTTCAATGAAGAGGGTGGACACTGAATGGCAGTGCTGCAAAGTGAGCAGCACTGTCCCAGGAAGCATCTCTAGTGGTCGACTGAGGAGTGGCCGAGGTGTCCCTAGGCTGTAATGTAAATGCTTCCTTTTCTCTGAAAAGGCAGTGTTTACAGCAAAAGGCCTGCGGTCTATAGACACCAGAACATTTACATTATGCTGTAGTTGTTCTGGTGACTATAGTGTCCCTTTAAATGGGAACTCTAATGTAAAAAATACAAACATGTATTTCTAATGTTGGAGTATTTCCTACTGATTTAGAACCCCCTGTAAGCAATAAATAAAGCAGTTTTACTCACCTTGCATCACTTGCAGCACCAACCTTGCTGCAAATGCTGCTTCGCTCCTGCCGAAATTATAGCAATCCAATGCTTTTCCAGAGAGAAGCACTGGGGTGCCTACTGCTATTAAGCAGCAATTGCTGCTCTCTGCTAATTAGCACTTCCTCACAAAGATGCAATGTACCAAAGCATCTCTATGGGAAATGTCAGTGCTTAAAAAAAATAAAAATAATTGTAGGAATATAATAGGAAACACCTCTAGTGGCCTGTCTCAGTGACAATGTAAACATTGCCGCACAGAAAATGTAGAATTTACACATGGGGAACAGTCTCTGTGCTTAAAGTATACCCTTGAACTATATTCTCAAGTATCTGCCACCTCTAAGATGGATAGGGTGGCTTTGGAACATGGTTCACATAATGCACATAGCTTCCAACAATTATTAGTTTACAAGTGTCATATTTCTATTCTACACTGCTAGTCACAGGACTGTGACCCAAAAAAAAAGGTAAACAAGGTTGTTCACAAAAAGTGAGAATTTTATAGTGAATTTCACATTTACAGTTAAAAATAAACGAACTGGGAAAAACAAACCTCTAAGTCTGCTAGCTTTCACTTCAGCTACACTGGCCTCAAATTAAAAATGTACTTTGAATTCACACTTTACTAAACACAGCTGAGATAATAAATACATGGATACTCTTTCTGCTACACACGTGCTAATAATCCATCCCCTGTCAGATGGCAGCTATTTACCTGTAGCATCTGAATGTTCCATAACTCTGGGCAGCACTTTTCATGTGCAGACCATAAGCATGAAGAAGTAGTCACCATAGAAGAACCACAAGTCAAACATAGGCTACAGCACAAGAGATACATTTATCCAGCATTGACACACTCACCAGGCCTCTGTTGCTGACCCAGGACCCGGACAGAACCGGCTCGGAGAGCCCCGGCCACAGCACCCCACATAGTTCAGCTCTTATTGCATGCCTTCACTCAAGGACGTCGCCATCTTGGACAGGAACAGTTTACACGTGACTTGCCGCTTCCCCAAACACATCAAAACTGTGAGAGCGCTACACACCCAGAGCGTCGGCAGCGCGTGTGTGCCAGAACGCTAACGACAACCAATCAGATGCTGCCGTTCCTCTTGAATTGCCTGGTCAGGGATCGGCGGCTTTGATCTCTTTTGTGTAGAACTCTCTTGTCTAGCACAGTTATCCTAGTTATATGACAGGGGCAAAGCCCCTTCCCATGAGCAAGTCAGAAAAATAAAATGATTTGTTACTGCTTCCTTTACTGCCTTTTACATTTTGTCAGTAAAAAAATAAATGTAAAAAAATTAATGAAAATGTATTTTGGGTGTCCCAAATAAAGCCAGGCACAATATATATTGTATACTTGTTAAGAGAGAATTCAAGGTGAATTAAGGTCAAAATAGCCAAACTGGAAAAAAAACTATTCTCTGTCAGCTATATTTTCAGTTCAGCTACCCTGTCCTTAAATTTGAGATTTAATTAGAATTTTCAGTTTAGTTTTTAACTCATAGTTGTATGGCTTGGCATATGCTAATACGCCACCAATGTTAAAAATAGTGATGGATATTCAGTGTATAATCATACATAATATGATGTCACGATGATGTGATAAATATAAACCTTCACTTGGCACATGTTCTATTCTGTTTCTGAAGATCTTGAGTTACAGTGTGCACCAGTTAGGGCTTTAGTAGTTTATTATAAAGCAGCGTAAAGCGAAAGTTAATTACAAGACCGCAATAGCCAAAGTAGAAATGTTTTCTGTATCACTTATGTTTTCAGTTAAGCTATTTTAGCCTAGAATTGGCAAATCATTTTGAATTCCAAAAAAGTCAAACTTCAAAAACTATTTGGTATTTCATTATGCTGTTTGAACATGTGTATTCTTACATGCTATCAGTGGAAGGATGCATATACATGTGTGAGGGCGCTGTGTGTGTAAGGTTGGTGTGTGTGTGAGGGTGCTGTTAGTGTGTGTGTGTGTGTGTGTAAGGGTGCTGTGTGTGTATTTTATGTGTGTAGATTTTGTGTGTGTGTGCTGTATGTTTGGGTGATTGTATGTATTGTGTGGGGGCCGTTTAGTAAATATCCCCCCTCCCTTCTTACCTTATGCCTGGGAGGGGGGATCCTGCTGCTGCTGCCATCCATCCCTGGTGGTCCAGTGGAGAGTGAACTCTAGCCTGCGGGGCTAGAGTTCACTTTCGCGAGATCTGAGCGTTGCCGCGGCAACGCTCACATCTCGCGAGAGGTACCCGGCGGAGCTGCTGGCAAGAGCTCCCCGGGTGCTCTCCTGCCTCCCTCACTGCCAGTGGGTCGGATAGCGCCGGCTCTGCATAAGTCGACAGGGGGGATCCTGAGATCTCCCCTGCCGGTCTCAATACATAGGCATGCCGCGGGGATTAGGGTGTGACCAGGCACACCCGGCACACCCCGTGCGCACGCCTTTGATCCACTGTTTTTCCCCAGGTTGCCCACCCTACACAAGACCAATATGGACAAAAATTAAAATCCCTATTTGGGCAATCAGGATCAGTAGATCTCTTACTAGGACATAAATATTTATGATTAACCCATAAGTTCGTTCCCATTTAAGATTACCACATACATTCCAAGGTTTTCCACTAGCAGAGATCGCCTTACATGTATCAAATAGTAGAATGCCTGTAGAATGTATGGTATTTATCACAGTCCTATTTATCAAGGTCCCCTGGGAGTTACTGTTCCGAATTACCAACCAAATTGTACGGGGTTGGAATTGGGGATCAAAACATTTAGGCTCTCCTGATATTGGTTTGCAGACACTGTAATCTATATCTAAATATCTACACTTAGATACAGATCCCCTACACTCATACTGTGAGTGCCCAATGAGAGTTTGGGATATTTGGTTACCTGTTTTTGTAGTCTTAATGCAGCTAACACAACTCTGTATGTCCTCACCTTTACCTTCCTGAAAAATCACAAAAATGCCTAAACACATAATATAACATATTATTTTAGAAGTCCTCATTTCTAGTCTTCGACAGTGCGACGGCACCTCAGCTTCCCGATTGTGAGGGCTGCAAGGATTGTCGTTTTTCTGATCCTCACTTTTCTTCACAGAGGTCCCTTCGAGACACTCTGGCTATGAGAGGTAGGTAGGTGGTCAGGCTTTATTATGGCCGTCAAAACACCTGCTTGCTGATATCTCTTGTTACTTTCAACTAAGATGTCCCAATTCTCCTCGTATTATTTTTCACTCTGACTGAGCTACCCGCTTTAACCGGATCTTGCAAGGATTTTCAGAATCTGGAATAGCTTGCCAAGAATCTGCCGCTGGTTTAACCCTAGCATGATGAATCCACGGAGTCACTTCTGCCACCTTTACAGCTGTTGGAGTAGATAAAAGAACAACATAAGGACCCCTCCACTTTGGACCTAATGGAACAATATACCATTATTTTATCCACACTTGATCTCCCGGTTGATAGGAATGAACAGGTGGATATATGTTCACAGGTAACCTATCTTGCACCCATTTCTGTACTTCCTCCATAGTTTTACCCAACTCTACAACCTGCTGCCGAGTAATTCCTTCACCCAACTGATTCAAGTCCCCCCTTAGATTACTGAGTATGGGAGGTGGACACCCATACACGATTTCAAAGGGAGACAGACCCATTCTTCTGGTAGGAGTACTACGTATCCGCAACAGAGATATTGGCAAAAGGACATTCCACTTGAGCTGAGTTTCCTGACACATTTTAGCCAATTGGGTTTTTATTGTTCTGGCCTAGGCCTTCCAGATGTCAGACTGTACTACAAGGCGGCGATAGTGGCCCCTGACATGACATTACACTCATCAGGGGAGAGACCACAGTGGGCAGACATAGAGGCACACTGGGCTGGAATATCTTAATATCTTAAACAGATATTTTGGGTCCCAAGAAATCATCTGTCATTAGCCCATTCCACCCTCCCAACCACGACTCTAAATTTCAAAATGCGGACGAGATGAGGAGTTCCTCGTGTGTGGTCGGGCCAACACCCCTGGCCATGCCGTTTCAGAGTGTGGGGATTTTTGTCCGAACACTGGACCACAAACAATGGACCGCACACAGTTGCACTCACCTGTGTCAGTTGATTAAAAATAACAAAATACTACCTTTTCCAGCCCTACAGACCCAATTTAATCTTCAAAACAAACTATTATTCTCATATCTCCAATTGAGGTCATACATACTAGAAAATTGTGACATACCAACAGAAACTGCACAACTCTCACAATTCGAGAAGCTGTGCACAATGCCAACCCGACCTAGGAAAATGTTATCAATAATGTATAATACAATGCTCAAACTGAACTCACACAAGACTAGGACATTTAGGGAGGCATGGCACAGAGAACTTGGATACACAGTATCAGATGAAAGGTGGGAGACAGCATACATGGCACACAGAGGTCACACATCATGCGCAGCGCACCTAGAACTAATTAGGAAGATACAATACCGATGGTATTATGTACCTGTCGAACTCTCACGCATGTACCCAAATGTGTCCAATAGATGCTGGAGGTGTGGTACACGTCTGGTGGTCTTGCCCGGCCATACAACAATTCTGGAAAATGGCCAGCACAGAAATAACTAACATAACCCAAATAGAGCAAAGGAACACACCTGAACACTGTATATTATTCATGTTGCGGACAGGAATGTCCACACCACTGACTAAACTCATATTCCAACTCCTGATAGCCGCAAATACGCTGCTTGTGAGGGCATGGAAAACTAACAAGGTCCCGAGCAGGAGGGTCCTGAAGAAACAGGTTACTCTTAACTGCGACTACGAGCAGATGTCACACAACTTCCTGGCCCCAAATCATACCACCATGGAGGCCAAATATATATGGGACACTTATGTGACGGGCACAGTTACCATAGGCCCATCGTGTAAAGGAACGTCCTCCCCTGAGAGGGAGACTTAACTGAACGCACAGAAAAGAAGAGTGCCATCGGCCCCATGACAGCTGCACGAAAGTTGGTCTGGGCAACACTAGGAAGCCTATCCCCTGAACAGGTTGGGTGCAGGGATAGCCTAGCCAGCCGAAATGAGGAGTGGAAGGATGGAGCAGGTAAAAGGCTTATCATACGCTATGAATGAAACCTTAGCACTGATTGCAATCCTGGTCACTTTGGAGGAGACAGGAACACGTTACGAATCAATCATAGAGATATACCTGATAAGCATTGCACAGTTGAAAGTTGTACCTGCCGATTTTGTTCCGCTGATTCTCTGTAACCACTTGTATTAAGATGTCGAATTGATGTGATATAAAAATTGTCAAAATTAAAAAATATATATTATTTTACTTAAAGGAGCACTCCAAGCACATAAAACACTTTAGTTTGCTGAAGTGCTTCATATGTCAAGAGTGTCCAGATTTCAATTGAAATTGGCACTTTTATAAAGTAACCTTATTACACCCCCTAGCTATCAATCAGACAACAGGTCCTTTTACTTGCTGGTTTGGTTAGCTCATTGGAGCTAACTCAAGAGGCTGTGATTGCCCAGAACACCAGCCTTGCAAAGACGTCTCACTGAGCTGCATTGGGAAGCCTGTGATTGAGCAGTCACTTTAATCTCATTCTTCATTTGTCTCTGTCAATGCTATTTACTATTATTATTGATATTTATATAGCGCCAAAATATTCCGTAGCGCTTTACAATTTTATAAGAGGAGGAGATTTAACAATAAACGAGACAATTACAAAATGTTACAGGAACAATAGGTTGATAAGGACCCTGTTCAAACCAGCTTACTATCAATTACTTTTGTCATAACCCCATTCTATAATTGCGAAGCACTGCAGAAAATATTGCTAAATTCCAGCTACACTGTAAATATGTAAAACCTATCTATTTTAGCCTACATAACATTTGACAATCTTGGTTGTCAATTATTTTTGTTTTGTTAATAAAGATACCCATACTCAAACTGAACACATGCACCCCTGACAATGAATATATAATAATAAAAATAATACACTATGCTGTGCCCATGCCTTTTTAAAGTGAGTCAGTGATTCCCATGGACACTGGTACACCCCATCTAACCTGCTTGTATCTTTAATCATTCCCATGCCCCCCAGCAGCCATCATACTGAGCCATCACACAGGCTGCGCACTTAACCACTCAGCCATCACTGAGCCTGCACACTCAGCCATCACACAGCCTGCACACTGAGCCATCACACAGAGCCATCACACAGCCTGCACACTCAGCCATCACACAGCCTGCACACTCAGCCATCACACAGCCTGCACACTGAGCCATCACACAGAGCCATCACACAGCCTGCATACTCAGCCATCACACTCAGCCTGCACACAGGCAGCACACAGAGCCATCACACAGCCTGCATACTCAGCCATCACACTCAGCCTGCACACAGGCAGCACACTCAGCCATCACACAGCCTGCACACAGAGCCATCACTCAGCCTGCACACAGAGTCATCACACAGCCTGTACACTCAGCCATCACACAGCCTGCACACAGGCAGCACACTCAGCCTGCACACAGGCAGCACAGAGAGCCATCACACTCAGCCTTCACACAGAGCCATCACTCAGCCATCACACAAAGCCTTCACACAGAGCCATCACTCAGCCATCACACAGAGCCCAGCCCCAGTGAGTGCTGCAGGTAGGAGGCTCTGTGTGCAGGCAGCGCGCTGGCCAGCTCAGTCCTGCTGGAAGGACCCCTGACTCGGGTAGTTCCCGGATGTGGGCGGTGGGCGCTCCGCACTTTCGGTGAAGCAGCGATCGGCGGATGACTGGAGGGGAGAGTCGCTTCTCGGGAGAAATGTGTTTCTATCAGAGACAGTAAGTGTCCGGGGGGGGGCGATTACTAATACAGGACCCCCTCTCACCGCCCGCCCAGCACTGCGGGCTACATGGCTGCCCGGACAGCCGCTCACCGGGGGAGGCCAGGCAGGGAGCCGGGTAAGGAGCCAGGCAAGGCCCTGCTGGAGCCAGAGTCTCAATAAAGCCCAGACTGGGGGCAGAGCAGCAACGTAGGCCTCAGCGTGCTGCCAGAACGTGCTGGGCAGCATTATCCAACATGGGGAATGCTCTTATACTGTGTGTGTGTGTGTGTGTGTGTGTGTATATTATACTGTGTGTGTATATTATACTGTGTGTGTATATTATTATAGTGTGTGTGTCTCCATATTATTATTATTATTATTATTATTGTGACAGGAAGCCCGAAATACGATTTATTTCTGTCTATTGCGGTTAAATCACTAAACAGCAGATAACTAAATCTTCCATAATTGAAGATCACATAGGCTGTGACTATAGCTAAATTGTATTATTTCTCCAAGTAAGTTACTTTTCTGATTTTTACAAATTAACTTGCTAGAATTCAGTTAGTGTTAATAAAAAAAAAATTTTTTTAAAAATTAAATACTGGTTGGTTTTCTAGCCTTTGGGTAATTGTATAGTAAATGCTATATCATGCTAGTCTGTATTAGGGACTAATTTTCTCATAATGCTCAGCAAGCTGCTAAAGTGGAAAAGGGACAAGTTAGGATTTTGCAAAACCAAATCGCTCATCATTAAATTAACTTAAAGGATCACTATAGTGTCAGGAAAACTGCTATAATGTCCTGAGGGTGCCCCCACCCTCAGGGTCCCCCTCCCGTGGCGCTGAAGGGGTTAAAACCCCTTCAGTTACTTACCTTATTCCAGCCCTGGTGACCTCTACTCCCCCGTCGACGTCAGCTCCCTCTGCCGACGTCAACGGAGCCGAATGCGCGGCAAGTGCTGCGTGCGCATTCAAAGTGTCCATAGGAAAGCATTTCTCAATGCTTTCCTATGGAGGCATAACATGCCTACAGCGTCGCAGATGCTGTATAGTGGCTGTCAAGATGTAAACATGCAGTTTCTCTGAAACTGCTATGTTTGTATGTAAAGGGTTAAAACCTGTGGGACCTGGCACCCAGACCACTTCATTGAGCTGAAGTGGTCTGGGTCACTATAGTGTCCCTTTAACTGATGAGTGCAGTCCTCAATGCACGCTATGGATCGACCGATATTGACTTTTAAATTTTTTTATTAGAGCTTATAATCTGTGAATTTTCAGGCCGATAATTTACAGATATTCTGTACATTTACCATTTTGGAAAAAAAATACTATTTCTAAAAGTAAATGCACAAAATATACATGTCACATGTATGTAGTGGATGCAGTGTGTTTTAGACAGGGGAGCGCTGTGTGTGTGTGTGTGTGTGTGTGTGTGTGTGTGTATATATATTGAATGCAGTGTGTGTAGTAAATGCACTGAGTGTTTATGTAGTGAATGTAGTGTGTATATAATGTTCTTACTTGGCCATGGAGGGGGGATATGTCATTGTCTGGTTGCAGGAATGTGCAGAGGGGGCCCAGTAGGCTCCTACATACCTTCCCAACAGCTCCCCTGTCTAAATCTTGTGGCCTGTGTGCCCCCCCGGAGCATTGCCATGGTAACCCGTGGCAACTTTCTTCCGGCCACGGGACTCGTGAGATTTACACAGGGTAGCTAAAGGGAGCTGCTGGGAAGGTAAGTAAGAGCTTGCTGGGTCCCCCAGGACCGCCAGGCTTGTCATGGGCCCGGCGGTCCTGGTATGTATTATTGGCAATATCTGTATCGCTACAGGCCGATACCGATATTGCCGAATATCGGCCAATAATATCAGCCAGACTGATAGTCGGTCGATTCCTAATGCACGCATATGTCAAACACTACTAAAGTAACATAGAAACATAGAATGTGACGGCAGATAAGAACCATTCGGCCCATCTAGTCTGCCCAATTTTCTAAATACTTTCATTAGTCCTTATCCTTATCTTATTCTTAGGATAGCCTTATGCCTATCCCACGCATGCTTAAACTCCTTTACTGTGTTAACCTCTACCACTTCAGCTGGAAGGCTATTCCATGCATCCACTACCCTCTCAGTAAAGTAATACTTCCTGATATTATTTTTAAACTTTGTCCCTCTAATTTAAGACTATGTCCTCTTGTTGTGGTGAAGTAATGACCACACATGCACCTATACAGCATTTCTGAGTGTTCATGAGTGCGTGGGATGCATCTTGGGGTGGTGAAGTCACTCCCAATTCAGAAGTGCAAATACGAAGTACATGAGCTGCTTTATTCCCTTTTGTAAGCACAACAATAGCGTTTACATGGAACTGTCACTCCAGAGTAGAGACCGTGCTGCTTTATCTGCCGTACTCTGGTTTTTTATTTTTCATAATGCTTTATCAGTTGTGTGGTACCAACATAATCACACCCTTTTGAGTTTTTATTAGACCCTGTGCAGCATGCTGTTTCTTTACAAATGGATACATTTGGTGCTTATCTGTGGGGGAAAATTGAACTTACTTAAGTATATATATATAAAAGCTTACTGGGGATTCTTTCATGAAGTAAAAAAGGTACTTTTATTTACTGTTTATCCATTGTCGTACTGGTCTCCAACCTGCCAGTCCCACCTCCTTGGCAGAGATCCTTATGCTTGATAATCACAGCCTATCTATTGTTTCCTCATAGGAAACCATTTTGGAGGCAACTACGCATGCACAGCAGTCAACAACTCCACATAGAGATGCATTGAATCAGAGCATCTCCACACGCAGCGTGGATGAACATAGGTCCTGCAAAATGTCCAGGAAGTTCCTCTAGTGGCTATCATAGTGGCATCCACTAGAGGTGGACTTTGGACTGCAATGTAAACACTTTTTTTATACTAAGCATAAAGGGACAGACTATATGCCCCAGAACCACTACATTAAAGGACCACTATAGTGGAGAGAGGAAGGGGTTAAAATCTTGCCTTTCTCCAGTGCCGGACGGGGAGCTTTACTCCTCCTCTCCTCCTTCCTAGCGACGTCATCGGCTGAATGTGAATGCGCGGCAGGAGCCGCACGCGCATTCAGCCAGTTCATAGGAAAGCATTTACAATGCTTTCCTATGGACGCTGGCGTCTTCTCACTGTGATTTTCACAGTGAGAAGCACGCAAGCGCCTCTAGCGGCTGTCAATGAGACAGCCACTAGAGGCTGGATTAACCCTCAGTGTAAACATAACAGTTTCTCTGAAACTGCTATGTATGTATGTATGTATGGGGGTTTAACCCTAGCTGGACCAGGCACCCAGACGACTTCATTAATCTGAAGTGGTCTGGGTGCGTATAGTGGTCCTTTAAGCTGTAGTGTTTCTGATAATTATATTGTTATTCTCTTTAAGAATTGAAATGACTGACTTATTTGCAGCCATGTCTGGTCTTTGTAGAAATCAATATAGAAGCAGCAGACTCTGGTGCTTTTGGTGCAAATGTGATTTAATTCTGGTAAAATGTTGTGTATTGTGTGTTAGCTTTTGCATTAATTAAAAATACGTACTCCTAGTCCTGCTTTGGGTGTTGTTTTTAAGAATTACTTGTGTACAACAGGGTGCATTTTAAACTCTAAATGATTGTATCCTGCAGGTTTAGCTCTGGCAGTGGAGTATTCTATATTTGAATATCTTACAATCTTCATTTTTTATCTTATCTTCTGTTCAGAACAGAGACCTTTCAGCACCCTGTGTCTCTCCTTACTGTTTAGTCTTACTCTCTAAAGATTTTCCATAATCCTACACCTCTTTCTCAGCTTATCACCAACATCAAAGGCAAACCTTTTTTTGCATCAGGCAGAGGAAGCAGGTCAGATGGGCGCCTGTGTGGAAACTTTGGGGTTAAGCCATCTTTAGTGGCTTAACCCTGTAAGGTAAGAAGGCGCCTAAGGACTCCAACCTACATAACGTCTTAATTGAGATGTTATGAAGTTGGAGTGGCCTTTTAAAAGTCATTAGGGACATAGGCATTGCCAAGATAAATTTAATACAAATTGTTGCAGAGAATACTGTTCATATGTTGGCTTTTCCAAGATGGTTTTCATCGTAAATCTCCTCCTTTGCCCTTGCTAAGGCCTGCGTGCCAAATCACATGCATGCCTGTTGAGGACTTGATACATGATGGACACTGGTGGGAGGTGATTGCAAGGTGGCCAGCCAATGACAAAGTTTAATAATGCTGTGGATCTTGACTAAAAATCCACCTGTTGTCAACCTGCAAGTTATTCATCAGGAGATTCCTTCATTCCCTTATGTATAACTTTTAAAATAATCATAGGTTTAAAAATTTAATTTTAAAAAATGGGGGCAGCATAGGGTTGGATAAAACACAACATGAAGAAAACAAACAAGACTGTTTGTGACAAGTTCTAAAAGTGCATAGAATGCCATAAATGTCACTGAAGGTTTGTAGAACATTTTTGTATAAGGTTAACTGTGGTTCTGACTCTTTCATAGTTTGTGCGTGGCTTGTGAAAATGTCAGGGTATTCAGTTTGAAAATTAATCCAAAGTGGTTCTATGCCAGATATATTAAGCTGCTGTCAAACAAAGCAATTTGTTTAACCTCTTAAGGACACATGACATGTCATGATTTCCCTTTTATTCAAGAAGTTTGGTCCTTAAAGGGTTAAGGAAGATTTCATTAATTTGAACTAGGGAACTTCACATTTTAGGACAACTGCTGTGCTCAAAGATATGTCTTAAAGGACCACTATAGACACCCAGACCACTTCAGCTCAATGAAGTGGTCTGGGTGCCAGGTCCCCCAGGTTTTAACCCTTCAGATGTAAACATAGCAGTTTCAGAGAAACTTCTATGTTTACATTGCAGGATTAATCCCGCCTTTAGTGGCTTTCTCATTGAGAAATGCTTTCCTATGGGTGTTTTTTAATGTGCGCGCATGCACATTCGGCTCCACTCAGGATCTGGCGTCGGAGGGGTGGGAGAGGTCACCAGCGCCAGGCTCCTGTTGCCTGATTAAGGAAGTGGCTGAAGGAATTTTAACCCCTTCAGCCCAGCGGGAGGTGGGCCCTGAGGCTGGAGGGTACCTAAGGATTATATAGTGCCAGGAAAACGAGTTTGTTTTCCTGACACTATAGTGATCCTTTAATTTGATTATTCCAGTTTGACTGTCTTTTTAAAGGAATACTCTGGACACCATAACTTCATATAAATTAAGTTATAGTGCCAGGAAGTCCCTGTCTTATCTCAAGGGTTTTAAACTGTTCTGTAAAGGTTTACCCCCAAGGCTGCTTACAGAGCTGGATCTCCATGTCTTGAGTAAGTTGCAAACCTCGTCCTATTTAGGAGGTTCTAGGGGGTGTTTTTATTATTTTTTATTATAAATTAAATGCGGTTTTGTATTTGAGAACATTATCTAAATTGCTCTTTCATTTCACCCTCCCAATTAGTTCTGGAATAAGGCGTTTGGCCCCCAGCTGCAGTTCCACTTATCGGATATGAGTTAAACTGTTTAATAAGCTGAAATGGCTGATATTGACCGATTTGTGAATTGGCTGTGTGGTATTATCTCCCAACTTGCTGACTATGTATGCATATGGCTGCAGCTTGGACTCTCTGCAAAAACAAAGAGGCGGGGTTCTGCATGCACAAGTTGGCTAGGAAAAAAACCAACTTGTATTGAGGTCACTGATCCAGGGGGCAATACCATTTATAAGCTACTCTGCGAAGAGACAAGGTGCAGTGTACTCTCCACCTCTAACATTGCAACATGTTGTTATGGTCCTAGGAATGAGCCTTTAAGCTGACATAAATCTTGATACGTAATCTCTATGTGGGGAATACACATTGAATGGTACTGATAGGAGGATCTTTCGTCTGTTACATGGCAAATCTCTCTGCCTGCTCTCTGCTCCTCATGAGTCAACTCGATCTACTTTAACCTTTGCTGACTACATTCCACACAATAAAATCTTAATAAGAAGTTAAATATTCAGTCTTGGCATGAATAAATACATAAAGATATTAGTACTAAATGAGATTTACATGTGTAGTTTTTTTTTTCTTTCTTCAAAATTGTAGAAGTGCTTTAGTTTGAATTTTTGGTGTTACCAGATCCATAATAAGGTTTGAATGTTTCTCCCTGTTTTCATGCAGATATATGCTCAGCAGATGCTTCATGACATATTTCCTTGACTGTAAGCGGAATGCTCACTTTTTTTTTTTTTTTTCTTGCTAATTTGAAGTGCGTATAATTCTTTTCCTCCTCTCCCAGCTGTGGTTGGCATGAATTTTCTTGTTCACAATTGTAGTACTGAATGGCGCAGTGATTTGGAAAGTGAAAAGAGTGCTGTATTTCCCAGCTGTCATGTGTGTGAATTGCGAGGCAGCGTGTGACCTATTGGATCCAACTAGGATATGAAACTTTGTTTCCCTGACGAATATAACTGTGTTTGAATGCTGAATGGGGTACTTGTTTAAAGTTGTTTTTTTTTTTTCTGTTTAATGTGTATATACTCGGTGTACAAAGTTTGTGTGTGTATTTATTCTGTTTATCACCAGAGTTTAGGGTTTCATGGACTAACAGTTTAGTGTGTTTTTATTTGTATTTTTTTTTTTTTTCCCTCCCCTTCTTTCTCTACTGTTTTATACCATGTACGTAAGACGATTGTGCTCCGGTCACCTCCGTTCAGCTCACAGTGTAAGTCTTGCGAGACCCGCGGCCGTCAGAGCGTTGCCACAGGTTACCGTGGCAATGATCCGCGCGGCATGCAGACCGCGAGATTTACACTGTGAGCTGAACAGAGGTGACCGGAGCTGCTGTAAAGGTAACAGCTTGCTGCCGGCCCCCCATGCACAGCACGTGCCACTGGACCACCAGAGAATAATATAGCCCTCCTCCCTGGCCAGCTAACAAGCAGGGATGGGGGGACAAAAAAAAAGTAAAAAAATAAATAAAAATGAAATATTAAAATAATATAAAAATAATACAAATATTACAATAAAATAAAAGTATTAAAATAATAAAATAAAAATATGATGATAATGCCCTCCCCCCACCCAGTTTACACACACACTACACACTGCATTCTACACATACACACACACTGCATTCTACACATACACACACACACACTGCATTCATTATATACACTGTAAATAAATATTCAATTAATGTAATTTTATTGAGATCTAATTTTATTTAGAAATTTACCAATAGCTGCTGCATTTCCCACCCTAGGCTTATATGCGAGCTTATACCATTTTTTTGTGCTAAAATTAGGTGCCTCGGTCTATATTCTGGTCGACTTGTACTCGAGTATATACGGTATATATGTTCAGCTAGGAGAAGACATAAATTTGTCATAACATGTTTGAGGTTTACAGATCCTAACCCAGCCCAACCAATAAAACAAAACCCGAATGAGATGATTAACCTGTGCCATGACAGAAGGTGTGAAAAGTTCTTGCCCCAATGACACACTGAATAGAGCTGCTCTGGGCGAGAATAGAACCTTCCATTTCCTGTTCCCTCTCTGACAGAAGAGGTGCGGGAATGTCTGTACTCGCGAGGCACCTTTACGTACAGTCGCAGGTATGTCCTTACTCGCGAGTATATGTAAAGCGGGGTATGCCTGTAATAAAATGTAACGAGTCAGTTGAACATTTACAATGGAAATTCAGCACATTTACTAATAAGTCAATGATTATTTATATAGCGCCAGCAAATTCTGTAGCGCTGTACAGTGATCAAAATGCAATTCTAATAGAGTACTGGAAAAACATGATTTATTCATTTTGACATATACCTCACCAACCCTGTCCCCCACTGCAATGCAAAGTTGGAATATATATATATATATATATATATATATATATATATCTATCTATCATGTGGCCATCTTCATATTGCTTTTTCTGGAACAGGTGAGTACATTGGTGTATAATTATAAAGCAATTTTGGGGGAGAGTTCTAAACACTTCGGCTGCAGTGGAAACCAATTTGATGCTCCTAATTTATTAATTAGCACATTGCCCTAGAATTGCTCCTTATGCACAGTCCATTGCATTTACTTCCATGCAAGGTGAGAATTGAGGTAATGATCACCTTAGGGTTATTTACCATGTCAGGACTATAGGGAACATTTTGACCTAATTTCTTTTTCTGAATTGTTTTTAGTCTTCTTTATATTTACAACTTTACTTTAATCCCAGTTTCCCCTATATATTTGTGAAAATTGTTTATTTTTTTTAGTCTGCGTCTAGACAATATAGAATGCTTTTAATGTCTGCAATATAAAATTGTGCCAGCAGGTGGAGTACTGGCAATTCAAGTACGATTCTTTCCTTTTTTAACTTTTCTTTCTTTTTATTTAATGCAGATATTTTAAAGTGGCCCTGATAATTAATTGTTTATACCGTAGATTTTGTTCAAAATAATTATCTCAGCACTATTTTCTTAACCAAGCTACAGTAAGATGTTAGCTGCAATTACCCCTTGAACATATAACTAGATTTCACTGTAGAGGCAGACATCTTGGATTTGTATCACAATTTTCAAAACCCCAGTGGTCATTACATAATCTAGGCAACATTTTTAATGGCAGCAAGTTGGAAGCTGTTACTTGCTGATTAGGTTGCAGTTTTCCACTGTGGAGGAAGGAAATGTTCTTTGAACTCTCTTTGCCCATAGAAAGGAAAGGTTAGCTAATAATGTTTAGTCCCTTGAAATGTCTTGGAAATTATCACTACACTGTATAGGCTGTTTTAAAAGTGCTAAATGCTGGTACTAAGACAATTTGAAATAAGTGTCTCTATAAATTATAAATGACTATATTCTGTTGTAGGAGAAATAAGTTATGCTGTGCCTACCAATACGTTGTGCACAATAAATGCTAGATAGAGCAGCCAAGTCTTGTTTCTTTCATATCATGCATGGTCTATTGATGTGGGGGAAAAAAATTGCATATGCTAACACTCCAAGCAACATAACCACTGCAGTTCACTTTAGTGGTTATTGTGCCCTGGAGCCTACCCATTTTAAAGCGTTACACTGTCTAAGACCTTAACCCTGTGGTCCACTGGGTGATGCTCACATAGCCACATTGAAGATGGTGATCCAGAAATTGTTTATCTGACTAGACTTGCATTTCGGGCTTGGCTCAGGGGAGCTAGCTGGTGCTCTTGCAGCAGAGCTTCTGGCTCTCTGTGGAGGTGGGTTGCGGCTTTTGGCACAATTAGCTTGGGCCGGATGTCCATAGGTTGTAGTGGAACGATGCTATACTTACCTGAAGCTGTGCCCAGTCGCAGCTGCCATCTCCTTTTGGGGCACCCTCTCCATTACCAGGTGCTTTATTTGCCAGGAGCCAATGAGTGAGAGTACAACATGGGGGGGCGGCTATGGAGGATCCCATGAGATTCAGGGAGTCACCATAGAGCATGTCTTACAATAAGTGATGTGATGCCTGAATCCCTCAGCCGTCACACATGGCGGCTGCTGGGGTTGGACAAAAGATGACGGCAGTTTACCAGAAGACAGTGGTCAGTACTTTGTCTATGATATCTTTTGTATTATTTTGGAATTCCAGTGAAGTGACAAAGCCTCTTTAAGACTCCCGGCACCGTTATTTCTACTATACCTCATCCAAAACTAGGGGTAGGCAACCTTTGCCACTTTGGATGTTGTGGATTACATCTTTCCTGATACTTTGCAAGCTTTATGGTTGCTAAAGCGTTGTGAGTGCTGAAGGTTGCCTAACCATGCTTTAAAGTCCTAGTTGTCAGCAATTCAACTGAAAACATATAGTGGTAATATAGGGAGTGTAATTCTTAAAGGGACCCTATAGGCACCCAGACCACTTCATCTTATTGTCCCCTTACCCCTGCAGCTATGAAAATTGCAGTTTCAGAGAAAGGGTTAAGGCTGGCTCTAATAGTTGTCTACCAGACAGCCACTAGAGGAGCTTCCTGCAGTTATAGAGATTAACTTTGCATTGAGTCAATGCTTTCCTATGGTGAAGGTATAATGCCACGGTTTAGGTTTTCCTTTGTGCTGGTGTTTGTTTTATTGATTTTAAATCCTCCCCCCTCTAAGCTTTGAACAAACCTTTTTAATTTTAGAGACAATCTGCTGATATTCACTGATATCTGTATCGTACTGTACGTTTCCACTATTGGCTTGCTTAAACAGGATGCTTTGATATCTCAGTCAGGGTGGTGCCTCATTTGTGAATTTCCTCCAAATATTTTGTTTAAAATTGATAGAGCAGTAAACAGTGTTCAAAGTAGTACCCTTGTCATACACAATTAATGACCCATTTTTACAGATTAATTCTATATAGATCATCTTGTAAATCACTTCTTTTCAACCCAGTCCTCAACGCACACCCACAGTAGGTATTTCCAGTGGGTATACGTACAAAGTTTGGATTGCTGATGTGGATTTTGGATGGAGTTGGGGAATACTTACCTATACCATGATACATAATCGTCTTAAAACCCTACCTTTTTAATACACTGTGGACTTTAAAGGGGCACTATAGTAACTAAAACTACAGCTTGATGTAGTTGTTATGGTAAGTAGGGTATGTTCCTGAAGGCATTTTGCTGTCAACACTGGCAGTCACTAGAGGTGCTTCTTGAGTCAGGGCTGCACAGTATTTATAATTTATAAAATATTTTACTGGGAAAGCTACATTACAGTATGCAGCACTGACGTTCAGCGTCTTCACGCTTTGTATGGAAACGCTGAACTTCTATCATAGAGAGGCATTGATTCATTTGTGAAGAGGCAGCCAATAGAATGAGAAAGGGACACTTCAGCTCAATAAAGTAGTTTGAGTGCCAGGTCCCTCAGGTTTTAACCCTTCACATGTAAACATAAGTTTTAGAGAAACTATGTTTACATTTGGGGTTAATCCAGCCTCTAGTGGCTGTCTTCCGGAAAGCTGCTGAAGGCGAATTTTGCATCCATAGGAAAGCATTGAGAAATGCTTTCCTATGGACACTTTGAATGCGCTTGGCACTTGCCGCGCATGCACATTCGGCTCCAGTGACGGGGAGGAGGGAGCCCGGCGCTGGGTTAAGGTAAGTAACTGAAGGTGTTTTAACCCCTTCAGCGCCACGGGAGGAGGACCCTAAGGGTGGGGGCACCTTCAGGACACTAGTGTCAGGAAAACTGCTTTGTTTTCCTGACACTATAGAGATCCTTTAAATTACATTTTTTTTAGAAGGATGCTCCAAGCATAGTTTATGATGCAAGGAGTGTCTGAGCTCTTCATTCTGCACACTTTTTAACTGCAGTGAATGGCATAGCTTTCTGCAACCAAGAGCTTTGCTTAGTGCCTGATTAGAGAAGGAAACTGTAAAATGCTCATCCTGCCCTTACATATACCATAAACGTCTGATGGACAGAAGTTTATGGGATATGCAGAGACTCTGTTTAATGGCATTAGAGCCTCAGGATTGGATGTGCATGCTTTGTGGTTCAGATGCTGAAACCAGTAGTATCTTCTGCATAGTTTTTCAATGAGTAAACTAACAAGTCATATCCAGCCAGCAGTTTCCCTTTTAAAAATGAAAAAAAGTATTGCATTTTTTTTTTTGTGTGTGTGTTTAAGTTTGTATCCCAATTTAAAACATGCACAGTGCACTCATGATGTGGCATTTTTATTTATTGAAGGCATTTCACTATACTCCACACCTGATATGGCGCAAGAAAAGTAATCTATTTTGCAAACCAGTTTTACATGCAGACATAGCTTTTTCTGGCTGAATAAAAGCTGCCATTGGGTCGTTAGACTTGCTAAATGTAAAATGTGTTTCCCATGGAAGTTCAGGGCTTGTAGGGAAACACTATTTACACTTCTATGATTTAAATATCTTCCCTATTGTGCGTAACACACCTGGCATCCTACAAACATTTTTTTTATTTTTGTATTCAGGACTGAGTAATACTAAGTTTGGCATGCATTGGCAGGTTTCCCTAAAACATAGGAGGAAGAATTATACCCCTGTGTAGTCAGTTTCGCACACATTCCCAATTAACCACAGAAAATCATACCATACCAGCCACGCATTTGCATGTCACATAAACCTCTATTTACTACAATCCTATTGTGTAGAAGCAGCCTAGCCTTGCAGTCCTGAAAAACCTTTTTGATCTCACCTGACTGATAAATACGGGCTCAGTCTGCTACCCTGTATCACCAGGTTTTAACATGGTCATCTGGATTTGGCAAAACCCTTGGTTAATGTAATTAGTGTGTCTATTTCAATTGTAAAATTGTAATGATGGCATGAAAAGCATTTGATCCTTATTTGGTTAACTAAAACTAAGCCCATATATATTTTCCTAGGATAGTTAAGCTTGGTAAACTTCACTAAGACCCCTTTAAACACGGTGAGAATGTAAGCCAAAGTTTACTTGTGTCTTATCTGGAAATATAGGCCTCTTAGGTCTGTTGGTAATTTTTTTTTTTTTTTACATACACACTTGAATTTCTGAAAACTGCAGAAAAGCTATGCAGGAGTTAATCTATAAACGTATCACCCTGTAGATTATCAGATACCAGTCATGTGATTGGCAAAAGAATAGAATATATATATTTTCTGTGGCAACAAAGCAAATGACCTTCTTTACAAGCTGAACTCTCTGCTGAATAACCTTTAAATTGCACAAACAAGAATGTCTGACACATCTGGTTCAAAACAGCTTTTAGACTTGGTTTTATGTTCAACGGAAGTAGCTCATGTGTTCAACGGAAGTAGCTCATATGGAATTTTCTTCTGTTATTTGACAAAGATGTCTCGTTGCACATGCACAATATCATCAATGGAGGGTCCTGCAGGATTTTCAATTGACTCCCATAAAAAGTTCTATAGGTGCCTGTACATATTGCACAGAACTTCTCAGGGTTTTGTGTAACATAAATCTTGAATGGTGAGACAGTGTTATGAAGGAGGGAGGTGCAACATAGGTTCACTTTTAATATCATAGAGTAAGATAAGAACTGCTCTTTGGCCTTAACATTTGAAAAGTACTTGTGGTTATTGTGCTTGGAGTTGCCTGTGCAATTTTTTTTTTTTTTTTCTTCTAAAATTTTAATCCGGTAATTGCTATAAAAGAACCTGTACATTTGTGGGCACTCGTGTGCAATTCCAGATGTTTTATGGCACTGGTAGAGTTGGTGGACAAATGTTGCAATAAAAGTAATTTGCTATGTCATTAATCAACATTCCATGTTTTCCTTAGCAAATGCACTCTGTTTTAAGTTCTCCCCTTCTTGCATAGAAATGTCCAAAGATTACCGGCATTCATGGGTCTTGCTCTTCTAAAACATAGCTTCTTTTTTTTTTTTTGTTTGATTTTTACATCTTTAATGTTAAAAGCTAAGTTTTAGAAGCATAAGATCCATGAATGCTGACCATCTTTGGAATTTTTGTAGGCACTGGTTATGGGGGAGAGAGGTGTTTTGTTTTTTTCCCTATCAGCATTAGTACTTTGCATGCATTTGGTTTTATTATATTTTTGGTGTATCTGTATACATTATACTTCTAGTTTCTAGAATTCAGTGGGCAGCAGTCGGCACTGCAGGTGTGATAGATTTCATTTCTCATGATCTCCCAGATGTGGAAGGAGTCCAGCAGTGTCCAGCCAGTAAGATGTAGTACACCCTACATTGTTGCCAGTTCTGTGCTGGCTGGTCGTGGTACCCCTGCAGTGAGGCCGTGCTACCCCTGCAGTGAGGCCGTGCCTGACCCGTGCTACCCCTGCAGTGAGGCCGTGCCTGACCCGTGCTGGCGGGTCGTGGTACCCCTGCAGTGAGACGCCATCCCTGGCTCGTGCTGCCAAGCTGTGGTACCCCCGCCGTGAGGTGATGCCCGACCAGTTTTAACGGGTTGTGGTTACCCCGCAGTGAGGCCGTGGTGGTGGCTTGTAGTACCCCTGCAGTGGGGCCGGCCGTGTTACCCCCGCAGTGGGGCCGGGCTAGCTGGCTGGCCGTGTTACACCCGCAGTGGGGCCGGGCTGGCCGTGTTACACCCGCAGTGGGGCCGGGCTGGCTGGCCGTGTTACACCCGCAGTGGGGCCGGGCTGGCTGGCCGTGTTACACCCGCAGTGGGGCCGGGCTGGCTGGCCGTGTTACACCCGCAGTGGGGCCGGGCTGGCTGGCCGTGTTACACCCGCAGTGGGGCCGGGCTGGCTGGCCGTGTTACACCCGCAGTGGGGCCGGGCTGGCTGGCCGTGTTACACCCGCCGTGGGGCCGGGCTGGCTGGCCGTGTTACACCCGCTGGGGCCGGGCTGGCTGGCGTGTTACACCCGCAGTGGGGCGGGCTGGCTGGCCGTGTTACACCCGCAGTGGGGCGGGCGGCTGGCGGTGTTACACCGCAGTGGGGCGGGCTGGCTGGCCGTGTTACACCCGCAGTGGGGCGGGGCTGGCTGGCCGTGTTACACCCGCAGTGGGGCCGGGCTGGCTGGCCGTGTTACACCCGCAGTGGGGCCGGGCTGGCTGGCCGTGTTACACCCGCAGTGGGGCCGGGCTGGCTGGCCGTGTTACACCCGCAGTGGGGCCGGGCTGGCTGGCCGTGTTACACCCGCAGTGGGGCCGGGCTGGCTGGCCGTGTTACACCCGCAGTGGGGCCGGGCTGGCTGGCCGTGTTACACCCGCAGTGGGGCCGGGCTGGCTGGCCGTGTTACACCCGCAGTGGGGCCGGGCTGGCCGTGTTACACCCGCAGTGGGGCCGGGCTGGCCGTGTTACACCCGCAGTGGGGCCGGGCCGGCCGTGTTACACCCGCAGTGGGGCCGGGCTGGGCTGGCCGTGTTACACCCGCAGTGGGGCCGGGCTGGCTGGCCGGCTGTGTTACACCCGCAGTGGGGCCGGGCTGGCTGTGTTACCCCCGCAGTGGGGCCGGGCTGGCTGTGTTACCCCCGCAGTGGGGCCGGGCTGGCTGGGTTACCCCCGCAGTGGGGCCGGGCTGGCTGGCCGTGTTACACCCGCAGTGGGCCGGGCTGGCTGGCCGTGTTACACCCGCAGTGGGCCGGGCTGGCTGGCCGTGTTACACCCGCAGTGGGGCCGGGCTGGCCGTGTTACACCCGCAGTGGGGCCGGGCCGGCCGTGTTACACCCGCAGTGGGGCCGGGCTGGGCTGGCCGTGTTACACCCGCAGTGGGGCCGGGCTGGCTGTGTTACACCCGCAGTGGGGCCGGGCTGGCTGTGTTACCCCCGCAGTGGGGCCGGGCCGGCTGTGTTACCCCCGCAGTGGGGCCGGGCCGGCTGTGTTACCCCCGCAGTGGGGCCGGGCTGGCTGGCTGTGTTACCCCCGCAGTGGGGCCGGGCTGGCTGGCTGTGTTACCCCCGCAGTGGGGCCGGGCCGGGCTGGCTGTGTTACCCCCGCAGTGGGGCCGGGCTGGCTGGCTGTGTTACACCCGCAGTGGGGCCGGGCCGGGCTGGCTGTGTTACACCCGCAGTGGGGCCGGGCCGGGCTGGCTGTGTTACCCCCGCAGTGGGGCCGGGCTGCCTGGCTGTTACCCGCAGTGGGGCCGGGCCGGGCTGGCTGTGTTACCCGCAGTGGGGCCGGGCTGGCTGGCTGTGTTACCCGCAGTGGGGCCGGGCTGGCTGGCTGTGTTACCCGCAGTGGGGCCGGGCTGGCTGTGTTACCCGCAGTGGGGCCGGGCTGGCTGTGTTACCCGCAGTGGGGCCGGGCCGGGCTGGCAGGCGGTGTATGTGAAATGATGCAGCATGCTCCCTCCGCTCCAGCCGCAGCCTGCTTTAAAGGGCCAGCCCGGTACAGCGAGTAACAAAGAGGTGACGTCACGGGCCGCATCCGCTTCCCCAGGCGACCAATCCTGGCGCTCCGCGACCGCGGCTGTGTCCGCTGATTGGCTGCCCGGTTGTCCTGGCGGCCGCCGATTGGCTGACACGCTGTCCATCAGGCAGGGGGAGGGAGGGCCTTACTTCCGGCTGCTGGTGTAGGGGGAGGCACGGGCTGCTGTGAGCTGAGTTTGCGAAGAGGATAAGAAAGAGCCTGGATGCCGAGCTGGTCCCCATGCAGCCAGCACCACGGCCGGCCACACACAGCCGGAGCACGGGGAGGGCAGGCCCGCCGCAACACCTAATATGTGTCCAGTGACAGGCCGGCTGGTGCATCCATTAATCCCATTCCTGGCCCGGGATCTGCCGCTTGGTAAGCACGGCCGGGGGGGGAGCAGGGGGGAGGGAGGTCGTGACTTTATTTAATATCCTCCTCGTGTGCTGTGTCTGGGCGGCCGCACTGCCTGGGTCCTGCCATCCTGTGTGCTGGGAGACTCCCATACTGAGTGAGCATGGCATCTCACAGCCAGACATGGCCCAGCCACATACACCAGCCAGGGAGGAGGGGGCACCCTGCATGCTCTGTGCCATGGCTTCTGGGAAGGCTGACACCCACATACACCAGAACACCGGGGGGAGGGGAGGGAGGAGGGGGATACCAAAATGTAGAACCTCAGCTGTTGTGGAAGTACAACTCCTATGATGCTTTGCCAGCCTTCTTACTGGGAATGGCATCCCGAGTTGTAGTTGTACAAGGCCATCAAAGCTTGCTGGGAATGCTAGTTTTACAGCAGTTGGAGATCAATCATGGTGGCCACTCAGTAATAAAGTCCTAGAAGGATTAACAGTAACAGCTAGGAGTTTAATATTGTAGTTTATGATCCGTCTGCATGTAGGCATTTTAATGTCGCTGCCCATCGGTGTGTTTTTTATTTTTTTTTTAATGTGTATAACACAAGCAATCGGACGTTGAAGAGGTTAAATTCATAGGAGATATCTTTACTAAGTTCTTCTGCGAACCTTTTGTGGCGTGGTTGTATGCCGTCGTTCTCCCTACTGAAAAATATATAAATTTTTCATTGAAAAAAAAAAAACCCCCAGAACATCTGAGAATAACCCCTTGGCAAGGCTTGTGTGGCACATTTTATTTCTTGGGTTCTATAATCTGCGACATGAACTGAACGATCCAGCCTGGGCAGCTGCTGATTGATGTGTAAAAGGTGCAAATGGTTTCTCTGTTGAAGCTCTCAGCGGGAAGGTGTCTAAGCCTGGGGACTGTTGGCTATGAGTCAGATAGCAATATTGATGAAGCGATTCTTTCTTGATTTTCTTTCATGTCGTTAACTTAGTCAGTTCTTTTAGTAGCTGTCTGAATTGAGATCCAATTTAATGGGCATATTATAAAAAAAAATTATCAAATACTCCACCCTTCTAATTTTTCCATGCAGAGAAAGGTGTGTTGTCTCCTTTTAATTTTTTTTTTTTTTTATTAGCCAGAAAACCTGATGACTTTCCCCAGCTATTTTGGAATTGGCTTGTAAACTGTAATGTGTAAGTCTGCAATTACTATTTCTGGTATCTTCAGCAATGAACTATGGAACAGTTTTTATGTTCCAAGAGATTGCTTGTTTGAGCAGGGCCTTCTTCACCTCTTGTATCTGTCGATTTTATTTTTGGCTGCCCATTATTAACGTAACCCCAGTGTATAATTGAAAAGTACTGCAGAAACTATTGGTGCTATCTAAATGCTAGTAATAATATAAAGTGATATGTGACGCTATAAATGCGAAAATAAATGTTTATATAATATGCTATCTTGAGATATATATCAACTTATTTTAAATAAAATGGATATTTCCATTATAGCTTATCAAATTAGTGTGTATATATATATATATATGTGTGTGTGTGTGTATATATATATATATATATATATATATATATATATATATATATATATATATATATATATATATATATATATATATATATATATATATATCTCTATCACAATAGTTTCTGGCACTCATCCCATAGCAAAAGCATTAATTCAGCAATGACCAGGTGCCTCTCCGTGCAAAATATACAAATGGAACAAATTGAGAGCACTCATTGGATTTAGTTAACAAAAAAAATATTAAATCAAACGCATATAAATCAACGTTTCGACCGTCTAGCGGTCTTTATCAAGATGATAAAGACCGCTAGACGGTCGAAACGTTGATTTATATGCGTTTGATTTAATATATTTTTTTTGTTAACTAAATCCAATGAGTGCTCTCAATTTGTTCCATATATATATATATATATATATATATATATATATATATATATATATATATTTACTAATTTGATAAGCTATAATGGAAATATCCATTTTATTTAAAATATGTTGGGCTTTTGGTAATTTAATCTATCTACATCCACCATAGTTTCTCTGTTTCCTGAGTATTCTGCAGATAGCTTTTTGAAACCGTGGCAACGGCCCGGTTTTCACTGATTAAAAAAAATGTTCCGGTGATTTCAAACCTCTACCAACTCCTAATGGTCATCTATGTTATTTGCATGTTAAAGTGCCTTACTTCTATTTCTTACTTCAGACGTGCCTTACTTCTATTTTCTCCTCTTCCAGAAGCTGTTTTCTTCATTTCTCATCTATTTCTTTTGTAAAACACAAAACTTTTTTGGGACTACTTTTTGTCTTCTGTATTTCACCTATTATTGACAAAGGGAGGCGCTTAAAGCAAACTTCACTCATTGTTAGCTTGACAAAGGAAGTAGAGCTTGCCTTAAGCTCCACCCTTTTGTCGCAATTGTCAAACGTAGGGAAAAATACGGAAGATAAAGTAGTCTCTACTTGTGTATTCTGTATTAAAGAGAAATAGACCAGTAAGGAAGATGTAAAACAGATTTTGAAAGAGTAAATTAAGAAGAAGCAATAGGAGAAAGTTAAGTTTGAGGTGACAGTGCCACTAAAATGAGTAACCTTGTAACTAGATTGTTTTGAGTTTTCTCATGTTTTCAGTTATGTCCTGTGGCATAATGTATTCTCGTAAAACACATAAATAAATGACATTAACATTTACAATGTTGCAGTGTAGCATATATTATATCACAAACCTGTCTAAAGTTGATCTTTCCTGATAATTCCTCCTTAAATTTGATTTAGCACTGTATAAAAAGGATGAGGGCACGTTTAAACTTGATCACTGGGATGGTTAATATGCTTTAGAATTTTAAAAATTACAACTTAAGACCCAATACAGTGTGGTTAATTGATGCATGTAGAAACTTTGGTTTTATAGGGGTCCTGCGATGGCTCTAGCTTTTTGATTTTACAGAAGTCAACTGCTGCCTAGGTTTTGGGAGTATGTCATTACCGTGTGTGTCCAGATCAAAAATGCCTTATATTTTTTTTTTCTTATTTGTATACTGCAGGTTTTATTTGGGAGGGGTTGAATAAGATTAACTGAGATTGCTCACCCTTTCATATTGTATGTAGATCAGTATTGACCAGAGACTCGACTACGAAAAAAAACTTGAATGTTCTTGAGGTTAGCTATTGGGCAGTCTTAACACATAATTCAGAAAATATTATTTTTGTACTTAATAAGTGAGTCCTATCATGTAGTGATCTATTGCCACAATTTCCAATTCCATTACATTCTGCCACATGATAATTTTTGTCCTCTTCAATGTTAATTATTTTAATTATAAAGGAAGATGCTATTTAGATTTCTAGTCAAAAATCGGGTCAGTGCTGCTGTTTTTGTATGGGGAGAGAGAGAGACAGGGGACTAATTTGCTTTTAAACATAAAGATCTAAAATTGGCATATTTCAGGCAGCTGGTGCATGCATGCTAATTGGGTTGCTATGATATCTAAAACTTGCTACAAATGGGCATTTCTAACTAGATTTGTGGAGCAAGTTTATCTTCCGGTGATTAGCAAACAGCATGACTAATTCTCCATGCAAGCCGCAGAAAGGCTGAATGTCAATTACTTGGAGACCTTTTGGAAAATATTAAAAGGTTATTCAGCAAGTCAAATGTATCTCTCGGAGGCCATTGAATCTTGAGGCTAATTATGGCCGTAAAATCAAAATGCTTAAGCTCTTCTTTAGCTTCACCTGCATTGGCTTCTTGGGAGCTATAATCACCCCCCAGGTGAACAATTTACCATATGCATTAATGGGAACCTACAGTCCTGTAAAAAAGCAATTTATTATGGAATCCAAGTTCACTTCGACCAGTGTGACGGTCTACCCTGCCCCATTTTGCCCTCCTCCAAAATGAGTATTTCAAAAGATAAAATCTTTTTTTTTTTTTAAATACACAAATTGAGCAGTCAAGATATGACAAAGTAAGGACTACACTTGACAATAGGCAGAGCTACCACCGTCAGGTTTTATTTTATTATAGTGACGACTATAGGGGAAAAAGTAATGGTCTTGCAGGATCCTCAATAGACCTTGGTGTTGTATTCTTTGTGTGTGCCAGAGTACAACACTGATATAAGCTCCTAGCAGATGAAGCGCAAGGAGCCAAAAAGGACTTAATTGATGTCAGTGGCCGCAAAGGACAGGTAAGTAAAACTAATTTTGTACTATACCCCGCAGCCCCCAGACTTCATTCAGAGCAGTCATGGGGTCTCTGCAAAGTACGCAAAGACCCCAAACCGTGGCAGAACTGCTTTATATTATGATTACTTATGATGTTTCCAGTGCCGGGGCACCTTTGCTGCAGCCTCCGTCAGTATGCCTGCTGACTCTTCTCTCTTCTCATCCGGCACCATGCGCCTTCAATTAAATGCCGCTGTGTACATAGTTTGTCTGGGTTCTGATGGAGGTAGCACTTGTAGTTACTCTCAGGAAGACCGCCACTAAATGTGTTTGAACCACCAATGTTTACATTGCATGTTTTAAAAGTTTTACATTGAAGAGTTAAAACTGCCACTGCACACAGAAGACTTCATTGACTTGAAGTGGTGTGGTTGCCTCTTGTGGTCCTTTTTAAGATCGAGAGTCTCTTGCCATGCTCTTTAAAAGGCATTTGTCTATGTACCCGGAGTGATTTTTTTTCGCAAGTGTTTCTCATGTAAATATTTGCCAACACTCTCTTGTATAACAAATATTGGATTTATTTTTAAGTAACACTTAACTTTCTGTATATATTTACTTCCATACCAATACCACCTTGTTTACTCTACCAAGGATGGAGCTTGTTGGCTAAGCTAATTTAACAACCATTATATTTGCCCCTCATCCCCATATGCCAATACGATGTGTATGTGCACACTACTCCTTTTTTATTTTTTATGAACCTGATTTGCAGGTCTTGGTTGTTTTTTTTACCTTATTTAAAGGAACCCTCCTTTTGCAGTGCCCTGTTGCAATCCTATTGTAAGTAGTCAAAATATTGTTAGTACAGTTTGATACTTACCTGGGTCCCTTGAATGACTGCAGCCTCTGATTCTACTCTTCTTTAAGAGACTTTGGTTAACTATACAGAGATTAGCAGGATTGCACTTATTGGCAGAGTGCAAAGCTTAGACAAATGCTGCTATCTGGAAGTTTACTTTTAAATGTTGCATGATAGGCATTTTGTTTATGATGGGTTAAATCTCTTACATTGCATATAAGCTGCTGTGAATAGTGCATAAAATGTATTAATCCAATGTGCCTTTCAAGCATATCTCCTATTGTATTAAAATCAACCTTTGTTCCTTTGATTAGGCAATATTTAAAGGTATTTAAAAAGCCTTTCCATGCACAGCACAATTCTGTTAATGACTAATGTGGAAGCCTGTGCTTTCATCTCTGGACATGTGTGGTTTCACAGTAAATCTCACTGGTTTTAACCTGATCATAAAGTGGAAATGATTAAACTTACATTTCAAATATGGACGTTGAGTTTCGAGATATTGCAGTGTCGTAATATTCCTAAATAAGGTAAAAACCTAAATCATAGTTTTGAACTTTCCATATACGTTAGGACATAATCTAATCTGTTTTAATGCTTTCTGAAAGAACCTTTTTTGCTTAGCAATTAAGTGAATTCTTGCCTTTTTACAATTGCCTGCGTGAATCATCCCACTGACAGTGGTGTGTATAAATAAGGAGTAAATATTAATAGGAAAACTCTATGCACAGTAGGGGCTATTGGGTTATTTATAAGGAGCAATAGTGATACAAAGTTCTACAGGTGGATGAGCTACCATGGAAACCAATGGAATGTGCGGCAGGTCCAAAATTGCTCTTTTTAAATAACCCTCAGTGTATCTTTTGTATAAGAAGTATCCTGCTGCTTGCTTTTCTGATGCTTATTACCACTGTCAGATCACACTGCAAAGGGAAACCCTCATGATTTAGGCCCATTCTGTTGTACTAAGGGCACTGTAAATGTCATGTAGACCACTTTATATGTGGAATGGTATACATGAAATCTCCTTACTACGTTTTCAGTACTGTTCAGATTGTGAAGGATAGAACTACTTTTATTTATTTTATTTAAAAAAAAAAAAAATGACTTAACTCTACTTTTGTAATTGCCTTCTGTAGCTGAATTCCCACACACACTTTTGACATTGTAGGTCTCAGTAGCTCTAACTTTGTTTTCCCCTCCCTCCAGTTAAGCAACGGCTTGAATTACAATCTGGTAATTGTGAAAGGGATACTATAGTGTTAGAATACAAACTTGTATTCCGAACACTATAGCTCCCTCTGCATCCACCCTCCCTTGCGCCTACTGCCTATATTTTCTTACCCAGTCCCAGCGGCCATGTCCCTTGCTGTTTTACTGCCTTCGGCGTGTTGCTGCAATGCTTTCCTATGCGGTTTTAAGTGATGCTGGATGTCCTCATGCAGAGCTTAGCAAGCCAGAAGCTCCTCTAGAGGCTGTCTTAGTGCTGCAGTTAGCTCTGACCAGCTCCTTCTGCTAGTGGTCCAAGACTTCTTGATTAAGCATCACCTGAAGCCTCAGCCTGTCACTAGCTCCCCATTCATAATGCTGTGTGGAAAAAGACACTAACTGAATTGTGGTTGGTTACTAAAGCATTCAATATAATTTCATGTGCTTTATAGTGCCCAAAAAAACCTTCTGTTACCCCTGACCATATACAATTTCAATGCACTATTTTTCCTGTTTTGAGTAAATGTTCAAACCAAATAATTAAAAATAAATCTCAAGGAAGACACGTGGTTTGACATGGAATCTGTTATCTTAAGTGTTTTTAACCAGTCCAGTATTTTCTAGGTATATCAATGCTCCAGGAAGCTTATTTCTCGTGAGACTGAGAACCATACAAGTACCTGGTACACCTTTCTTGTTTTGATCACTCAATCTACAGGCAGAAGAAGATACCAATGTTAACCACTTCTATAGGTAGCTGATATCGCCCAGGGAATCAAAAGTATAAATGTTGAATGCGGCTCAGTCGCCACACTAAAAATTCACGTACGTGTGTATGTATGAAATACTCATATTGTCTGTATTGGAATTTCATTGTATAGTCAAAACTTAGAAGACAAAGTAGGCTTGAGGAGAAAAACCTCAAAGTCTTGACAAGTCTTATCGTAACTTGGCTGGCTGAGCACAAAGAGGTATAATGTATTACACTTAGTTTTGTTTCTTTGAGACTACTTACAATATGTTAAGAGACCTAAACCCTATTGAGGAGTGTTGAAATAATTGTAGCTGATGGTTTAATACTACCATCCTATTGCTCAGGAGCACAACCTAGAAATACTGATTTATAACCAAGATTACAGCTTTCATAAGTTTTCCTCCTTCTGTGATTATAATTATATTTATATAGCGCCATTAAATTCCATAGCACTGATTGTTCGAGGACCTAAAAGGTTTTAGTAGCTCAGGCAATGTTTCCCCCCCTAATATCCAATACCAGACTGTATGTGCTTAAACCTTTTAATTTTTTTTTTTTTTTTTTTATAAAGCTTAAAACTACTTGTTTATATTCTGTTTTGGAGGCTTTTTTTTTTTTTTCACAATGATTGAATATCCCAGCAGAGATTAAGAAAATTTGAGGCTTTCTTTAATTTCTTGGTTTTTGGTTTTATCTTGGAATACTGGCTTCTCTCATGGCCATCTAGGATCTGGGTACCTCTGTCTTTTAAATACCGTTTGATTTTTGTGAGACATCCTGACACATTTGCATTATAAAGAGCCTTTTTGATGGGGTTTAAATCTAGTTGAAAAGGCACTTTAACCTTTTAACCCATCGAAGAGGCATTTGTACAAATGATTGCATGTGCATTTTATGTTGAAATTGTCCCCATCACTGGGATCCTTTTTAACTGATTAACCAAGCACATGAGTGACTAGGCAGCACTTAGTAAATGTACTTTCCCACTTTTGCTATGAACTACTTTGCCTAATAATTTTTTACCAAAGAGCTTGAACAAATAGTTTTGTAGGGTCCCCCCTCCCCATAACCATTTTACAGAATTGCAAAGAACATGCATTAAAATACATATGTAAGACTCTCCTTTTGCCTCCCTCCTCTGATAGACCATCAATGACTTCTGCTAAAATCTCTCGGCAACTCACTTGTTTTATAGCTTTTGTTGCATGGCAGCTCTCGTGAATACATATAATACAATTTTTAAAAGTGCCAATTTCGAGGCAGAGCAGACACCTCTACCATATTGTTTACCTTTAAAACTTGCTGGAAGTAGGGCTGGTGTGAATTCATATTCTTTATGGCAATAGGGACACCATTTCTTCTACCCTGTACATGTGGTTTTAAAAACAAAATCTGCACTACTTGTAATGGTCTGGGTGACTATACAACATGTCTGGGCTAAGCTGCATGGATAGGATGGAAGGGATTCTAAGACAGTACTTCACTCTCTTTTTTGATATCACTCTTGGTGCAAAATTTCTGCTTACTTTACTTATCTCACCTGCCAAAAAAGCAAGTTCCCATTTTTTAAGAAATCATTGTTCGTATGAACCAGAATTAAAAGCAAAGGGTGTGGCATGTTGGCTACATATCTGTATTGTGGGCTGATAAGGAGGTGGATTGGGTTGCTGGCCTGTTTCTGAACTCCGCTTAATGAATGGTTGCTAAGCAAATTGCATCTCAATCAGTTTAATCCTCTGGATGCAATGTAAAGGTCTGCTCTTTGGAAAATAGAGCAGCACCAGTCACCAAACTGACAGCAGGTCAGCTCACAATAAATAGCTGTAAATAGCTGCTTAGATTTCAGAGCTCTCTTAACGCTGGCTTGAATGTCATGTTATTGTCATTCGTTGGTTCTGTGCATTATGCTTTCTACAGTAACCGGCGTATGTATCTGTGTTTCCAAGTTTCAGAGGATTCTTGCTGTCAGTTTCAGGAGTCTTGCTATCCGTTTCATTTTCAAAGGCATGTACACACTCTTTGATTCCTGCCCAATATGCCCAACAGTTCTAGAAACCTTGAGTGGGCAAAAAAAGACTGCTAGTCAGATGCATGCAAGCATTGCATATTTAAAAAAAAAAATAGAATACTATTGCTTTCATGGTGTTTAAATATAACAATATAGACATGCAACTTTTTTTATTTTTTTCAGTTTCTGAACTTTGTTGATTTTAGTCCTTTGATTATGTAAAGTTTGTACACACAGCATTAACACAGCTACATGTTCACTGTCAATTACTTAAATAATTTTATAATTACAATAATTGTTCTAGCACTAGAAGTACTGTTTTTGTTGCGTGGCTGTGGTTTGCCTAATTTTCCGTGCACGTCTAAATCAGCCGGCCAGTAAAATGCACTGCGCAATTGAAATACTTGGCAGAAGCTTTCCATCGCTTTGGATATTAACAACCCGTCTAATCATGCTGCCCTTGGGTTTAACCTAGATGACTATATACAGGCATGACAGTGCAAACAAATGACCGCCTTGCAGGTATGCCCCTAGCCAAACACTCGTTCCAATCTATACTTTTTAGCAACACTACAGGCAATTGATCTTGTATACATCACCTGTCCATATTCCTGTTTTTGCAGAATGTGAAAGGATAGGAGGTGATGGTAAGAAATGGTAAAAATATTGTCAAAAATATTACTATGCTGAATCTGAATAAAGCATACAAAATGCCATCTTTTAAAGTGCAGTGGGGGAAAAACTGCAGCAGGTGCAATACTAGACTACCCTTTATAGACTACTCATGTTCTAAGAGTTCACCTAAAGATTAGATGGCAGAGTGTTCCTTTTAAAACTTTACACCAGAAATAAATCACCGTGCATGAAGT